TTGAGGATGGGTTTGCAAATAGCTGAGGTGACTTGGGGTGGGACTTACGAACAGTTTAAGGGCGGTTTACGGATGGATTGAGCTTGATTTAGTTTGGGATTTGGATTTGTTGAGAATGGGTGGGTCTTGGGCTAGGTTTGTTTGGGGTGGGCTTAGGGTTGAGCTACGCTGGTTGAGGATGGAATAGCGTTGGTTGATAGTGCTTTAAGGTGAGTTGCGCAGCCTTACGGTGGGCGTTGGCAATGGCAAAAACCCAATCCTCTCAAGAAGAAAACATCCTTGGCTATCATAACACCTAAATGTTTCCCCAAGCCAGAGCGAGCGGCGGGCAGAATTCCAGCGGCGAGCCTCAAAGGCGCCGAAAAGTCTCTGCATGTGCGGGCTCGTTTCCGTCGACCCGTCCAGGAATCTCAAGACCTGAAAGCGATGCCCAAAATGAGCTCAAGGGCTCTTCTTCATGTCTCTTAGTCAACTTCTCAGACGCGAACCGCGATTTCATTTCGGAGGTTGTCGAAAGAGTGCACGTCTTTGTCACTAAACCTCCGTGAGCCGAGCACATGCTTGAAACTAGTCGGCCCTTAGTCCAGGGCCACATAGACTGCTCGCTGTCCTGGGCGTCTGAGCTGAGCTTCTGAGCTTCTGAGCTTCTGAGCTTCTGGGCTCTGGGCTTCTGGGCTCCCGGCCTGCATATTCAGCGCGTCCTTTGATACCACCTCAGCGACTCACGCTCTCAGCTCCGGGGGCGGTGCGCAAGGGCAAGCAGACCTTTGCGACCGCAGCAGCGCCGCTCTCGTCTCGAACATAATGCACCTGGGAAGCAGTAGAGCATAGTAGAGCAGCAGGCCCTTGTATCTTACATCTGCCTTGCAAACCCACCCTATGTGGGGTTGCTTGAGTGTGGGTCCTTGGCCATTGAATGCTGCCTTTTCAGTCAGGGAGGGCTTGAATGTCGGGGAACCTTCAAGACACATCTCACTCACTCGCAGGCAACGAGGTCAACCAGTGTCACAACAGGTCTGCCATTGCGTTTGCTAAGTACGCCGGCAGCTCGGCCCTTGAAAGCCGCTTTCCCCCCTCTCTGGATGACATGGGGGAGGGGGGATCGGGCCCCGGACCGGGATCATCTATATATATATATGTGTTCTAGCCCCCCCCCCCCCGCAAATGTCTACCTTTTTGATGGTTTCAATGGTATTTGCGGTGTTTTATGCCTTGTGTTGTGTTCTGGGGGAAGTAGCAAAAAAAGGTGCCTTATTGAAATCAATTTAGATTCTAGTTGGAAACTGGGAAACACATCCTGGGAAAGGAAATCCTATTTACATCATCTTTAAATATTAGGATGTCTCTCTGTCTATCTAAATTCATTGGACATCTTAATCCTAGAAAAAGAGACCCGCTTCAAAGTCGAATTTGAAAAATGTTTCCAATTAAGAATATTGTTTTAACAAACGCCTATTCAAATTCTTATTAAAGCTAGACTAGACATGTCCTTATTAAACTCTATTTAATGTCTGATCAAGAATACAACTAGAACTCAAACCAAAAATTCCAATGTCCAATTCGACTTTGAAAAGGGCACCTGATTATTTAACTAGTAGACTAAACTCCACTTCAATGTTATAGAGAATTGGAAACACGATTCTAGAAAACGAAACCCCCTTTAGAATCTAAATTGAATAAAGGACACACAATTATAATTTGAAACGCGTTCAATTTAATTGTTTGATCATAACTTAAATGTAATTTAAGAATGACATAAGTCTAGAAGGTGTCTGGTTTTAGCGATATTTTAGATAGGTCTATTTTAGGGAATTAATTGGACTTGTCACAAATCTTCTTTGAACAGGATACCCTATTTAGATTCTCTTTGAATTGGAGCATCCTACTAGGCGCAGTTCCTTAAGTTCAAAGGAAGAAAGGGAGACCGCCTTTAAAGTCTAATCTGACATAAACATTCCAATTAACAATAGTCTTTGAAAAGGAGATCCTATTAAAATACTTTTTGGTATTTGCAGTGTTTTCTGCTTTTTGGGGGGGGCTTTGGGGAAAGCAGCAAAAAAAACGCACATGTCATCTGCAAGCTTCAGGATAAAAACTTGACCAGCGGATCTTGAATCCAGGCCCGAATGAAATTTTAGTCGGTTTGGATCTACCTCTGTCCGATTTCTAAGCTGAGGCTTGGTCAGGAGATGTTAACAACACCAACAAAGAAGAGAGTCAGGGCCCCAAACCGTTTGAACCCCTTTCTGAGAGGAAAGGTCCCTCCCCCAAGAGAGCCCCAAAACCGTGTAAAGCCTTTCTCAGAGGAAAGACCACCCCCCCCAAGGCCTTAAACCGCTTAAAACCATGTTAACCGTTTCAGCCCTTTCTCAGAGGAAAGGTCCTCCCAGGGCCCCAAAACCGTTTAAACCGCTGAAACCGTTGTAACCCTTTCTCAGAGGAAAGCCCCCGGCCCCCGCCCAGGGTTCCACCTGAGAGTTCAAACGGGTCAAACGGTTCAATCGGTTGAGTTGGAGAGCATGTATATAAGTTGTTATATATGTGCTGATATCATCGCTTAGTCGGCCAGAAGAGGAAGAGGAAGAGGAAGAGGGAGAGGAAGAGGAAGAGGAAGAGGAAGAGGGAGAGGGAGAGGAAGAGGAAGAGGAAGAGGGAGATAGACAGAAAAAAGCGGAGCCTCCCGCCTCGCCGTGGACGGATTTGGCCAGCCTTGCCACCAGGCCGAAGCCGCTGAACTGCCAAGGCTCCAATGCCTCAGCCCATCGCACCATCGCACGTCCATCGAGGCGAAGCTGCAAGGCCCCGGCGTCACATGATGCGCTTCGAGCTGTGGGGGCTCTCCAACTGGGAACCTGCCATCTCAAGTCTCGCCGTGTCTGGTTCTTGCGCAAAAGAACAAAAACTGAGCGCCGGACATCTGCGAGCCACCCACTCTCCGGGGAGTTCAGCTTCGAGTCCTGAAGAGTTGCATCTTTCACTTATTTCAACTCTTTCATAATGACTCTTGCATTTCTTTTGCACTCTTTCGCCTTTGCACCTTTGCGCTGCCTCGCCTCTGACAGGGACGGGCACGGCGCGCTGGGCGCACTTGGCGCGCTGGGCGCGCTCGCGCCACAAACGGCATATGCGCCGCTGCCGGCCAAAAGCTGCAGTGCCTCTTTGGCCGACCTGCAGAAACGGCACTTCCACTCCCACAGGGCTCTGTACCAACATGTACCAACTTGCTCTCCGTGAGTCCGTTTCTGGCCTCCTGGTCTTCGCCAGTGAGATTCCGTCCGCCAGGGTCAGGGGTGAGGCTGTGCAGAACGCGGCCCAAATCAGGCAGAGGTCGGGGTCATGACGCCAGGACTCCAGCCTGGCTATCACACCCTTGCTATCTTCTTTCCTCATCCTTCCTCCCTCTATCTCCCTCTCTCTCCCTCTCCCGCTCTCTAGCATTCTGAGGACCCTACTTGGCCGCAAGCCCAGCTTCAGTCGAGACCCCATCTGCTTCACATGGATCCCGGCCTCAGCTCACCAACCTCGTGGCTTTCCTTTCTGGTCGGATCTGAAAACCAATCAAAAGTCCCATCTCCCCGACCCTCCCATCTCCGGCCTATGTCCGTCCGCAGCCTGCCCATGAGCTCAGCTACCCCTCACAGAAGGACTGTAGCTGTGAGCCAGCGAGACAAGTGACACCAAGTCTTACAAAATCTAAAGAAAAGGCCAGGCAATCACGCGCTGCTTTTTGCTCCAGGAATTGGATCAAAGAGACCCTCCACATATGTCTCAGACAGGGCCTGTGCCAGAACTCACGATGTTTCAAGTGTACTCTGAGTCAGCGACCTGCGCCCACTCGGCAGAATCGGCATCTCGTTGGATGGCCTGCGGATTTCATTCAGTCTCACATACTGCGCCATCACACTGTGCCAAATCACACCTTGCCTGGCTTTCCAGCAATGGGCATGTCCTTTCCACATCCTCCCAATCCTGCACAGCTGCATGAGAAAAGAAAAGCATGTTGCCCGGCTGCCTCGGCACTTGAAGCGGCTCCAGCGTGCCTCCCGTGCCTCCGCTTTGTGACGTGCAGACTTGCTCGATACGAGCCATAAGCTTCGGGCATGAAGTGTTTACTGGCCATGGAACGGCCACAACGGCCACAACCGGGCCCAGTATACCCCCTACACCATCTACACCATCTACACCATCTACACCATCTACACCATCTACACCATCTACACCGAACGAGCGACCTCAAGGGCCGCAGGAGCCCGTGTAGTCGTTCCAGTCTGGCCGCGTGGAGGCCGAAGCCGAATCCGCCCGCCCGGGCATCCGACCACAGCCGCTCCTGGCCGAGTCCCAAAACTTTCCGAGCACAACTTTCTGAACTTCCCGATGCGCGGGTTTGGAAATTGTTTAAACCCGAAGAGTGCAATTCTCGGCGGCGGGACCGCCACCGCTGCACTGCGGGGCCATGCGCGGCAGGCGAGGTTGGTGAAGTCCACCCGCTCGGTCCACAGCGCTGCTTCGCCGCCCAAAAGCCTTTCCGTGCAAACGACAAAGACAAACAGAACACATCAAACCCACAAGGAAAGGCTGAGATCGTGGACCAAGACTGAGTTCGAATTGGGTCAGGAAGCCGCTTGCTGGGCTGCTTCTGCAAAGGGCCCTCGTCGGCCGCGTGTCCATAGAAATCGGTCCACCTGGCCACTCAGCCACTCAACTGGCTCAACTGGCACTGGCTCAAGTTGCTCTCCCGTGACGGATAAGGCTGGCACTGGGAAGGCCAGTCCAGGTACCAACAGCTGCTCTGCACCGCAGAAAGCCCCAGCTCCGTGGCCAAGAAGGCAGCGGCATGACCCAGCATCGCTGGATCCTCCCCCTAGACAAAAAAAGAAAAGAAAAGCAGAAACGACGTCTCAAGACTTGCAAAGACACAGAAATTCACAAGGAGTCCGGTCGAGCGGCCTTTGGCCACCAGCGCATGCCAGGCCCCACACTCCCCCAGCACCTGTCACGACACGAGCCTCCGGAGCACTCGCAGTGCTCCATGACAGGACTCAATTCGAGCGCTAGGCACTTCCAGGGCTGCACCACAGCCTGAGGCTCGGCAGTACGACCCAGTACAACCCGTCGGTGGGCTCAGGTGGCTGCATCTTTGGGCAGCCGAAGGCCCTGGTCAAAGCCATCCTCCCAAAGCACTGGACGCTTGCCCAGGCGCTTCACCTTGGCTTGTGCCCTGCCTAGGAACCAATCCGCCCTCCCGCCCTCCGCCTCGGCCAGCACGTCGTCAAAGAACTCTTGCAGAGCTGCCAAAGGCCCAAGTCCTGGAACTGAAGTCCATGGCTCTAAAGTTTCCATTCCATGGACCTCTCTTGCGCATCCACTTCTGGATGTGCGGCATTGTTGTCCAGCATCTGTAGTCCACCTACGGGAAGTGTCTTAACATGTCCTAACCTCTTTTTTTCCGGGGCCTCATCCCCGCCCACGTGTAGAAACTCGTCTGGGAAGAGCTCCGCGACCTCCCGCAGGATGGTCTTGGCGACCTCGCGGTCGCCAAAAGCGGACGAACAAAAGCGCATCTCCGGCGTCGGCCTCGCGGGAGCGCGGGTTGGACAAGTCGAGAGCCAGTTTGTCCCGGGCTTTGAAGGGATTCTGAGCATCGCCGGGGTCAGTTGGCAGGACCTGGGATACCATATGACACGACATCCCATGCCCGGTGCAACAGGGTGGCGCGCGTGTGTGCAGTTGGACACCGCCGTGGGCTCGCCAAAGATCCAGCTGGCCGTGTGCGCAGGCATGTCGAGCCTCGGTGCGATCAATGCGGACACTTCCCATCCGCGCGAGGCTAGGCCACCCTGCTCAGGCACGATGCGGATGGAGAAGTTTGCGGCCAGGACCACTAGGTGTTGGACCACCTCCTCAGTGTGAACAATTTCAATATCGACACGTTCTGACATCGCCTTCTCCGACCCTCTCACTTTCTGATCCTCTCCGATCCCACGCCACTCTTAGCAGCCAGCTCGGGGATATGTCTTGTTGGGGCCGAAAGATCCGAGCTGCGCCAGCTGGGGCAAGGACTTCAGCTCCAGCGGAAAACTCATCGCCTCGGTGTGGCTTGTGTAGTAACTATGCAGTAACTATGCAGTAGCTATGCAGTAGCTATGCAGTAGCTATGCCAACCTCGCAGCGACCACCACCAAACATATGAAGAAGGTCGATACCACTTGCAGGAAGAGCCAAAGAAAGCCAAAGCGCGATGCGGTGCAGCGAACAAGCGAAACAGGAAGGAAGCCTGAGCATCGGGCATCTGTAAGATGCCAATGCAGCACATTGAGCTTGTTGGCAGCCATGATGAACAGCAATGACTCTATTGCCTCAAAAAGTCAACACCTCCTTGCGATTGGCATGCGACTCGACAGTCTGTTCCAACATGGGCCTTTCTCAACTCCCGCCTTGGGCGGAATGAAGTGCCTGGCCGTGTCCAGCAGCAGGCCGCGCCAGGGGAAGCGGGGCCGGTCCTCGATGCGCAGCGCCAAGCGCGCGCTCCGCGCGCCGGGGGCGCGCAGGCAGTCCCCCGGCGCCAGCGAGCGCTTCGAGGGTCTCGCCAACGAGTCGAAGATCTGCAGCATGGTCTCCAGGCCCCGGCGGAAGCCGTGCACCGAGTTTGCCCACAGCCTGGATGAGGTGCTGATCACCAGGCCATAGCTTTCATCCATCTCCAAGCTTGGCAACTCTCCTCAACGAGGACACAAGGACACAAGGAGAGAGAGGCGTGCACGTCCTGTGTGAGTCTTGATCTCCAGCTCAACTTCGCTGATGGAAGGCCCAGCGACACAAACATCGGAAGATCTCCCCTCGTCATGCCAGAGGCAACGCTTGTCAAACTACACTGCTCACCTGTTGAAATCACACGAAAGGAAAACGGAGCGCTGAGATCACATCAAGTTGCTTGTGGTCGACTGCACAGTCTCCAACAGAAGTGCCGAAGGGACCAAATCACCGCATCCAGCAACTGGTCTCCTCGGGAAATGCGCTTTGTGCTCTGTCTTTGATTGAATGCTCGCGGTGGCGTCCTCGTCCTCTCAGGTTTATGCTGAAGGGCACGCTGCAGGGCTCGACTTGGAGCGGTGTCACCCTTGCGCATCCAAAGGCCTCGCATGCAGTTCACACCCGGCATGGCAAGACTCGTTGGAACGGCAACCGGCACAGCAAAACTGCGCTTCGGCCTAAGCCAATGGCAGCCTTGCCCATCTCATCATAGAGCGCCACATGACGAGGCAGCGGCCACAGGTGGCGCAAGTCCAAGGACTTCGGCGATCCAAAGGATCCAAAGGATCCAGCCCGCACCGGCACCAAGTCAGCACACGTCAGCTCGTGTTCCGCGGCTTCCGCAGCTTCTGCAAGCAGCAGTCCAATGCAGGCCAGCATCCAATGCGCGAGGAGCTTTAAGCACTGTGAGCGTGGCCGAGCTCTTGAAGCTCGTCATGGCGGCATTCCGCTTGCAACCTGCTGCCTAGTGAGTTCATTGAAGGGATTGTCATGAGACTCGTGAGATTGCCATGGAACCGAACACGCAACACAATGTGGGATTCCATTAAGTAGGACTTGTGACCATGTTACATGTCGGGCACATGGTTCGTTGCGGGATTCAAGCTGTGATCATGGCAAGCGGGCACGAACAAAACCGTGTAAGGCTGTGCAAATGTCTGTTCCTTAGCCTCTCCTGAGACAGAGATGCTGACTCTCAGGCACCATGGGCCAATCATTTGAGGCATGCAACTTGATCTTGGGGCTTCTTGCCTATGTACAGACTCTCGGCGCCTCGGCGCCGAGACCGCGATCAGCCCGGTCTCAGCAGCCTGGCGGAAGCGCGGGCGCGTGGGGCAAGACACGTGGGGCGCACCCGAAGCGCTCCGCGCCCAGCTGGTCCAAGGCCTGCAAATGGCAAATGCTATCTCACACTCCGATCTTATCTTAGTTTACCTCTTCAGATTCCCATTTACCGATGTGTTTCGCGCTTCTCGCCTGAACTCATCCCGGCCTTCAACGCACCCACCACAGTGAACTCTCCGGCCGACCTGGCAAGCGGCAAGCGTGGCAAGCGGCAGGCGACAAGCGGCCGGTTGGGCGATCCGCTCGCATGGTACTGGCCTGACTTGGGACAAGGGAGGCAGTGTGCTATGCACCTGGCAAGCCCCAGGCACGACTGTGGATCCGTCTCATCCGACCAAAGCGTGGGGCTATGATATCAAGCAGTTTGAATCGTCCAAATCATTGATTGTCTGTGCTGACACTTGAGAAACTCCTGACACATGAATTGTTTTCGCGGCATCAGCTGAAGAAGTCCATCAACACCTCGCAAGCCTCGTTGACCACGCGGAACAAATCCACCGTGTCCGACGAATCCTTGTCGGGGTGATACTTCCGAGCGAGCCGTCTGTATGCCTTCCGCGGATCTGGGCTTGCCGCGTTCGGCAGCTCCAGCGTGCGAAAGTGCTGGTCCAGCGCTTGGTGACGCTTCCGCGCGGAGCTGAAGGGGTCACCGGCCCTCTGCCAACGCGACCATCTTGGTCCATCCGCGGGCTTCTCCTGCTTTGTTCCTTCGAGCGTCGGTGCTTGTGCTCCTCCTGCCCTCGCAACTCCTCAAAGGTCGCGTTCCGCTCCTGGAAACTCTGCCATAGCTGCTCTGTCTCCTGCAATTTCGCGTCAAGCCGCGCTGTGGCAGCCTCTTCATCCACTGCAGCTTCCTTCTCCTCTAGCGCCCTCTCACGCTGCAAGCAGTGTATCTCGAGTTGCTCCTCCTGTGCTGTTCTGCGCTCACGTGCCTCCACGCGCATCTGCTCCGCGGCTCGCTGTTGCTGGCATCGCTCCTGTGAACTTTTTGGTCAGCACGCCATAGCCAGCGAAGCCGGCAGCGGCGGATATGTTCGTCACCTGCACTGGACGTGGACATGTCGATGGGCATGGGCTTCACAGAGCCCATTTCCTTCTCCAAACTCAAGCAAACGCAACACCCAAGGCTGACACTTGAGCCAAAAGACTGAGTGCAGAAGGGGTGCATCGGTGCATCTGTGACAAGCGTGGGCTTTGTGGCCTTGGGTTGAAGCCCAAAGCAAATTGTCACACGGTCCAATCTGCGGCGCCTTGGCAGCCTCTTCTTGCTTGGCTAGAGCCTGTAGCCCGCTCTCTCACATGTCAAACTCTGCTCTGCTTGTGCCTTCAGCTTCTCAAAGTCTCTTTCAGCACGCTCCCTGCAAGGCACTTCCCAGCATTGGGAAGGAAAAACCAAGACCACAACACCGACACCGACCGATTACCAGTCAAACATGTCCAAGCAGCGCTCGTCGCCGATTCCTTGCGCACGCAACATGTGACGTGTCGAGGCACAACTCGTCTCATCGACTCGTCTCAAATCGCGCCTGGCGATGCGACTGCGCAACTCCTCCTCCTCCTTTCGCTCTTCCTCCTCGGTACGGCGCAAAGCCCTCGGCACGCAAAACCAAAATAGAAGTTGTCCTGACTCGCCCGTCCTCGTCCGGCACCAGGCTCGCCGCCTTCCGTCTGGTCTCAAACTCCAGGCTGGCCAACAGCTCATCCTTCTCGGACAGCCGCCTGGCGCAAGCCGCAGCCGCAAGAGCCGCAAGAGCCGCAAGAGCCGCAAGAGCCGCAAGACACAAAACAAGAGAGAGCGATGAGTTTCAGCAAAGACAAAAACTGTTAAGGTACAACATGCCTTGACAGCAGATCACATCAGGTATTCAGGTTACACAGTTGCTCCAAGTTTAGCAGAAAGCGCCTAACATCTACCAGGCCTGTCGCGCAACTCCAGAAGCTCCTTTGCCGCCTGCTCCGCTTCCCAATGCTGCAGCTCCGCATCCTGAAATGACGCAGGGCAACGCGCCGTGTGCAACGCGTGCAACGCGTGCAACGCGTGCAACGAGTGCAACGCGGGCGCGGGTCGTGTCCTGCTGGCGCCGCAGCTGGTCCAGCCTCCGCGTCGCAGCACGACGCGTTCCCCGCGCTGCACGTCAAGCGCGGGGCACAGCGAGGAGCTGCACGGCGCCGGCCCGGCCCGGAGCGCGCGCGATCTCCGCCTTGAAGGCGGACAAGTCCTCTGCGAAAACGGAAAAGCGCAGAACGAATACAAAGAATACAAAAAGTACAAAGGGAAAAATGAGGCAATCTTAGTGGTGCGGCGCCCTTGTGCTTCAAAAAGAAAAGAGGGGCCAGACACTGGAAGACCATGAAACACAGAACCTGGCCAAATCTCGATTCCAAAGGTCGGCCTATTCAAGCCTAAGCACAAAGCCTGCCTCTGTAGAGGAAACACTTCCCAGACTGAAACCCTCAGCAACATGTTGGAGACTCGAGCTCCATCCTCCTGCAGCTGTTGGATACGGGCTTCTGCGTCCCTGAACAACACACACACATCTCGATGGAACAAAAATGACACATCCAGCCTTAATCGCTGCACATCTTCTTGCAGCTTGCTGCTCCTAACCCCAGGCAGCGAGCTTCTTTCCGCTCCGATCCCAACCGTCCAACCCCTCGAGCCGAATCGCTCCAAGCTGAGAGAGGGTCCATTGCTGTTCCATGTGCAGGGCATGCGCAGACGTGACCTGCGCCAGCGCCAAGGATACGCTACAAAACACTCGGCCCTGCACACATGCTCGTTTGTGAAGCCTTGCGCGTCTCTACCAGCGTCTTGTCCAGCAAATATTGGGTGTCCACCTGCTTTTGCTCCTTGGCCACAAGAGGATGACTCACCAGGGAATGGTTCAAAGTGTCGATCCAACATGCTGAGGCCTGTACGAGCTCCTCGGTGAGAGTCAGAACCTGCTGCTTGCGTCGAGCCACCTTGCAGCAAAAAAAACCATCAACCATCAGCCGGCGACCTGGCCTGTCAAGGCAGACAGCCGGCAGCCTGACAGCCACTGACAGCGCACTAGCTCAGCCCCAGCCTGCTTTCTCAAAGCCCCGACATCCAGCTTGGCCTGCACGCAGTGCACGCAGCGCACGCAGTGCTCGCAGTGCACGCGGAGAGCTGCGTAAGTCACGCCTCCGAAAGCGAAAGGCAGTCCTCGCGCGAGGCGCGAGGCGAGCTCTGCGTGAGGCGCTCGGCACACTCGGCACACGACGCCTGGCGCTGCTGCTCCGCCTCCAGCTGCAGTTCCAGGGCCTCCCGCCGCAGCTGCGCAGCCTGGCTGAAGAAAGAGAAAAGGAAGGCGAAGCAGGTGAAGTGTCAGAGATCTGAGATGTGACAGTCGAGCTGCGACAGCTATGGATCGCCCTTGAGCAAGCCGAGTCAGTGCTTCGCTCTCACGCCTCATCTTCGACTGCCTCGATCTCTTGTTTCACTCGCTCCTGGCTTGGCCCAAAAGGTCGATCGGGCGGAAAGCATTGACATGGTCCCAAGGTCCTGCTTCTGGCGCTCGTCCCTCGCCTTGCGGCGCAACTCTTCAGTGTGGGCGCTCAACGCCTCAGCCAAGTCCAATACACCAATACGACCAATACGACCAATACGACCAATACGACCAATACGACCAATGGACCGATGCGTCCTGCCTCCCCGTAAGTGGCCATACCGGAGCTTCGAGCCCAGGCACGTTGCGAGTGCATCCCCGCGTCTATCACGGCTGGCTGGCTCGCGCGAGCTTTTTTCCTTCGGGGGGCAGAATTGCCAGTTTTTTTCGGCCGTGTGGCCAATGGCCTTCGGCAAGGCCTTGTATTTGCGAAATATTGGCGAGGCTGCGAGATCACAAAAGCTGGCAGGATCAGCCGTCGATCGACCAGGATGCTTTGTCCTACGAAGCCCAAGCTCATGCAGGTACTGTTTGTTGGAGTCGTTTCGAGAATCAACTCACAAATTCCATTGCAATGCCGTCCATTAAGGTTCCACGGTCAGCTTCCTCTCTTCCAGGTCAGCGATCCTTCTTCTTGATCTTCTTCTTGCCAGAATTCTTTTGGCCCATGCCAGCCTGGCGACTCTCATGTTTCCTCAACCACTTCTTCGACCGAGCCTCTGCCATTTTCATGTTCACGAAGTACCTCAGCTGACTTCAGTCTGCCTTCCTTCTATGGCGCCATGATCGTCTCTTCCAACAAATGCTGGGCTGCACATAGCCGGCGATGGCACCGACAAAGAGGAGGACAAACAGCAAGACCGCCAGCGTGGGCCCGTCCATGCCTGTCGCAACCGTCGCAATGCAGCCGTCTATACTATACACATGCCGCATCACATGCCTCTATCCCGTCGACCAAAATATCTGACTACCCTGAGCCAGACGCGATCGCCAAATGTCTCGCCTCCTCCCCCACTGGCGGTTCGCTTGATTCATGGTTCAAGCCTTCAACCCAGCATGTCACCAACAATCCACTTTGTGCTGCAAGTCGCCCAAGGTTGAAAGCAAAGTAGAGTGATCTAGAGTCAGGCACCGGCGCCCGACCCTCTCCAACATGCTTGAATGCTTTCCGCAATGCATCAAGCAAGCTACATCGCTTTTCACGTCTTGTGACTTCTGGTTGCAAGCTGATTGCTATTTTCTATGTACACTCGGCAGCTTCGGCTTTGGCTGCAAGCTAGCGCCTGCCCTGTACCTTCGATGCACTCACCTGGCACCTGCCGGCCTTTCTGCCTCCGCCAAACGCCGCTGGTAGAACTGGTTCAGGACCTGCCAGGAATCACCCCAATCCCCCAATTCCCCAATCCCCCAATCCCCCACTCCCCCAATCCCCGCTTCCCTCAATCTTCTCCAATCTTCACCCTCGCAACAGCCCACCTCCAAGTAGGGTCTGAAGTTGTAGTAGGTGCCCAGGTACCTTCACACGGGGTGCTCCGGGTCTAGCCCATGACCCCTTGACTTCGGGAAAGCCCCGCAGTACGTCCCTTTGGGGCACGTCCCAAAAGCGGTTCCGAGGACGAACTGCCACATTTGCGCGGGCGAGCTGGAGCCCTTAAGCCGTGCTAAGCCGCGCTTGCTGCAAGCCATAAGCACCAGAAGCACCGTAATCACCATAAGCCATGACCCAAGAGAGCGACTGCGCGACCCTCTTGCCTGAGAGTTGCACAAATGCGCTTTCTCTCCGTGTTGCTCGCTGGTTGTCGGATAGAAGGGCTGTGAAACCACGTCCGACTGGTGAAACGGGCCATCCCCTAACACTTTGCAAGGGGTGCAGTGAGAAGTCAAGCCAACTCAAGCAAGCCGGAAACTCGACTCGACGAAACTCTCAGGGCCGCAATGGCGTCCTGGCCTCGGGGTGCCCCATTCGTCGCTCGAAGCGTCGATGTACGCCCGCCTCGCTGGCGCCGTGCCACCAGCGGTCGAGACATCGAGTGAAGCAGCGGCCGCACTTCTCGAAGAAGCCTAGCGGCAAAAAAGGACGCGAACGTGGCGACTAGAGAACGAAGACGAAAAGCGTGGCACATTTCCACTGCTCGGATCCCCGAACCAGACTACGAGAGTGAGCCATGCCAGGCCATGCCTCGGTCGGCCCCTGTCGGCACCTCAAGGGCTCGAGGCGACTTCTACTTGGCAACTTGCGCTCGAAGCCTGCTCCATGCTCAGAGACTCGGGGATGTCTTCAATGGAATCCAGCAGGAAGTAGTGGGTGCCTCCCAAAACCGTCTCTCAAGCCACTGACTCACTCTGAATCCATGCCTAAGTGAATGATCAAAGGCCGCATCTGCCGCAGCTCTTCGAAGCTCGGCCGGGGCTGGTCTGCTGGTCGACCCTCTGCCACGGGCTCCTGATACGGCGATTGGCGAGTCGCGACAGAAGCTCCTTGGGCTGCGGCCGCGGTGATGAGCCGGAACCCCTGCCTGACATTCCGACGAATGCAAGCATTCGCAAGCTGCAAGCTGAGCGCCGGGCTCGTGCAGCCGCCACCCTGCCTCTCGCAAAGCCTCCTAAGTCGCGCAACAACCTTGTGCAAAGCAAGCAACGCGCAACTCAGCATGCCGCCTCCGACCCGTCCAAATTTTCCTGCATGGCCTGCCGAGCAGTCCATCGGAAACTGCGGGCCAGCTGTTCACAAGGTCCTCCAAGGTGGGATGCCCTGCAGCGGCCAACGCCAACATGGTGTGGTCCTAGGGCCAAGGTGAGAAGAGGTGAGAACTTTGCTCTGCTTCTGTGGCCCTGGCGCCAGTTTCCTCCGATGCATGGAAGTCTGGAGTGACCTGGCCAAGATCACAGGCCGTCTTCTATCGGGGCCGGAAGCCGTGCAGATCACCGGCCTCCACCACTGGGGTCCAGCGCCACAAGCGACCGCACAGCAAGGACAGCTCAGAGTGCGTCAGAAAGCAGTTCGTGTCCTTAGCCAAGGCTGGAAAATGGCTAGCCACGACCGGTAATTTGCCAAGGACTCGTGCTTTGTGAAAGGACCCGCCTGCAACCCACGGCATCGAAGCTCGGAGGAGACAATGTCCAGGTGCGAGCCACGAATCCCATGCCTGACGAAACTCGGCAGGAAGTTGTGCGCAGCCACTTGAAACCATCCCTTGATTCAACACGCAAGTTGCGGGCAAAACTCTTCCGGCCTCAAGCATCGCAGCTTGATGTCCGCAATGTTCCACAAGCGCTCCCAGGCCCTGTCCTGATCGAAAATCGCAAAGACGAGGCGAAGGCTTTGAAGTCCGTCGCCTCTGGGGATGGCCTTCTGCCGTCAGCTCTGGCATCCGCAGCAGCAGAGCGCACGGAGTCTAGTTCACGAATCACCTCCCAGCCCGGAGTCACGAACCGCTGTCATCTCCGTATCGTGTTGCACCACCAGCCCGCCGCCACACTAGCACACTGAGTGACATCGGCCATGACTGCGACAGCAAGCATCACATTGCTGCCGCATTAGCCACTGCAAATGCAGCGACAAGGATGCTAACTCCAACAATGGCGAGCTGTAGATCTAAGACCGCGACCGTTTCCAAGGCACGCGACAAATCCATTCCCAGCAAGTATGCAAGGCACCTCGATTTGCAGCATCATTGTGGCATCATTACATGAGATCTATTCCTTCACAACTTTGCCCCTGACCAAAAGCCACAAAATCCATCGTCCTTGCCATACGGCGAATGTGTGTCAGCCGGGCCGGTTCACTCGTGCAGTCCTCAACAGCCACCACACCACACCTTCGCCGCAGCTCCTGACGCAGCTGAGCAGAAAAAGCGGGGCAGCTAAGCCGACGCCTCCCCGCTAAATTAATTCCAGAACGCCCCAACGCCCCGCACCTCGGGAGTCCCTGGGACTGCCTGGCCGCGCTCAGCCGCGCCGATCGCTCGAAGGAAGACCTCGGGCGAACACGGCGAACACGGCGAACACGGCGAACACGGCGAACACGAAGGGACTCCGGGAAGGAAGGGATGAGCCGAAGGGTCTCCGGAGCCGAGGCGGCCGAGCGGCAGCGAAGCCTGCGCGCTCGAGCCATTGCCGTGGGCTTACCTTGCATTGCAAGGGCCGAGAGTCTGTCGAGAGTCTGAGTCAGGCCTCCTCTTCACAGGGCCAGGGAGAGCCAAAGCGGGGTGCCCTTTGCGGCGGCCGCTCTGCCGTCCTGGCGCCATTCAACAGCCGTTGCCATTGCCACACCCCACACTGTCCTCACAAGGGCGCTCCAGCACTGTTCGAATTGGCCATGCATCAGCGAGTCACCATGAAGTAGCTCTTTCGCCACCTTCTCATGGCACAATGTGGCTCCAAGTCGAAGCTGCTTGTGACGACGAGCACTTCTCGAGGCTGAGATGCTCAGATTCGCCTCAACGCGCACCCAGGCTGGGTCGGACCCTCGACTCCTTCGAGAATCCTGGAGCACCAGCTGCCGCCAGACTGCAAGTTGAAAGCCTGACAAACCCTGGGGCCTTCTCGTGGTCAAAGGAACCCACGTAGATCCTTGCTGCATGCGCCACAGTTGCGCATGTGAGTTGCGCCGAGGCCCGGTCTTGGGCGCGGCTTTCACAGCCTCCGACGAAGCGCACAGCCAAACCCGCAGCGCCTGCCTGGGTGCCCAGCCTCGGGGAAGGATCCCCAACCAGTTCCTCGCAAGCTCGCTCGATTCGAGAACTCAGAATCGAACATCGTGTGCAATCGGCACTCGAGTCACCAATTTGTTGCCATCTTGACTCTCGAGAGCTCTCCCGCCTGCATGCACGTAGAACACGCTCTCCGGGTCCTGAGGGTGACAGTATGCAAATGGCTGCGCTGCACAAAGGCGGGCCTGCTGATAATTTGGCTCGTCTGTTAGAATAGTCATGGCTCACCGCTGAATGTGCTGTGGTTTTCAAACGCAGCGGGAATGAACCGCCAAACATAAAAACTGCGCAGCTGACACTATGTGGTAACGCTTGCCACTGAGGCCAGCTGCAAGCCGAAAGCATGGCTTGGGGCTAACAAGTTGTGCAAAGCCAAGCCCAGTCACTAGCAAGCCCGCCGAACCCCATTTTGAACCGATCCACAGCTCGCGGATGGGGCTCGACTGCATCTCCTGACAGATTCGAGATCAACTACGCCTGGAGCGCAGCGAAGCCTTGCACTTCTGGACAGCAGCTAGAATCTCTGCGTGGATCACCTCGTGTCTGAAACTCAACCCCAAATCATGTCCCATTCCCACGAGGCACGCCTCCTTGTCGCGGGCTCCGTCCACGTCATGCCAGTTGACGTGGGCGCGGAGCCGCGGGTCTTTGAACTGGTTCCGCACCTCCGCCTAGCTGCGGACGGCACAAAGGCACCAGCAGAGTCACTAGCACACAAGGCCGACTCGCGGGAGTTCGGAGTGACACTGCCCGGCCTGCATCTCCGCATTCTCGTAGCGCTCGTCGCCAAAGTTGGCGCGGGACGCGCCGACCTGGCTAGTGCAAGACTTGGCTTCGCCGACAAGACCACCCAAAGCCGTTCTCGCTTGGACAAGCATTGCCCCTCGGTGCATCGGCGAGTCGTCCGAGTTGACGAGTTGACTGCCTTCTCGTCTATGTACAGGAAGAAGATGCCGTCTGGGCATGGTAGCCCCCGATCAGGAGACTGGCACCATGTGAAGTCCAGGCCTCGATTCAGAGAAATTGGAAGGTCTGAGATCATGAAATCAATGCTGTGGACTTCGAGCGAATGCTCGGCTTGCGACCTTTGGCGGCGGAGTAGGCCACTCCCGAGAAGGCATAGCGGTCGCAAATGATGGTGGTCCCAGCTTTCAGATCCTGACATCTGACACCATTTTCAGCTACCAAGGACATTCCCTGCCACTCCAACCTTGTTTGAAGTCTTGCCTCGGTTTTGCCAAGCCCTGATTGGAGGTTTGCCTCCGTTTGGAATCGCTAGTCTAGCTTAGTGTCCCGCCTAAAACGCCCTCCAAAGGTGCGCCCAGCTTCAACTATCCTCTTACATGACTGTTGCAGGATGTCCGAGGATGTCTGGGATGTCGCTGCATTCACACCTTCCCGCTACCTTGCTGGGGGTGTGGAGTGTAACCGACAAAGCGTAACCACTCTGGAGTTGCCCGAAACTGGCTCCCGCTGCAAATTCCACGTCGCCTCCACGATGGACTTTGCCATCTCCCAGCGATTCGCCTATGCCGGTGGGTCTAAATGAGTGCGAGTCCGCGGATTCCAGACGGGAGCGTCCAACAAGCCGGCAGCACGCTGAAGAGCCGATGCACTGCTTCGTCCGGTAGCTCCAGTTGCCTGGCACGTGTCTCAGCACACCTTTGAACGCACCCGGAATGCATCTGCCAGCTTCATTGCGCCCCCAGGCCTCCGCAAGTACAGGTCAATGGCCGTGCCAATGGCCGTCTTACGGTTTGGGAAGCACATCCACTTCACCTTGCCGTAGCCCACCTGCGAGACGGACTTCCCAGACGGGGAGAGGGTCAGCGACAGACTTGTTGCTTCCTGCTTTGGCGCCTTCTGCAAGTGGGCCTCCAGCTTCTTGCTCTGTGTGGACTTGCCGCTGCGGTCCAGACCTCAGGCAGCTCAGCCCAGCTCCAATCGCCCGGAAACCACACGCCACATACTCACATGACATTTGGCCGCAGACCCTCAAAGACCAGGAAGAGGCCCCGTGCTTGCGCAGCGCCCCACTTGGGCTTGTCCTAGCTCCGAATTTGTCGGCAAGCTCCCTGAGCTCGAGCTAGTCCTCCAAGGGCGTGTCCAGAAGCTGCAGCGCGTACTCAACGGCTGAAGATTCTGCCTCCGAAGCCCCGCAAAGCTGCAAGACTTCCAAAGCCGCAAAGCTGCCGCGAACGCTTCTCCTGGCTCAGCGGAGGCTGGCCACTGGTCTCGCGAGCAGCTACCACCTGAATCCGAGCTCGGCTTGGAGCGGTTCCGTTTGCCAAACCCAAGGCGCAAGATGAATCTTGAGCTCAGGCCGCGTCGTATGGCATCCTGGCAAGACATGGCAACACTTCACTTTCCGATCGCGCCAGCTCAGGCCCGTGCAAGCTGCCTGGCCGCAAGAGGCTAGCTGCAGGGGCGCCCCTGATGACCTTCGGCAAAAGCAACCGGATCAAAGCCTGACACCAACCCAACATCACCGCGCAAATCAAATGTCACAAACATGCGTGGCAACAAGTAAGGTAGACAAGGTATTGCCATCCAAATCAAGCATCTTGGAGCCGAGCAAGTGACAGCGCTCGCCAGCAGCTGCAAACATCCCACATGAGGCTGACGGGGCCGGGTCTTGCAGCCCATTTCTGAACGAAACCAGAACTCGCCGGAATGGACATGTCAACATCCACAACTTCGCAATCTGCACACAGTGTCAATACAAAGCTCTACTTGGTTAGTACAAGGCTGTGCAGTTGTTGTCTTTTTGACCTCTGAATGCGCAAGCGCTTGCCAAAGCACCTCCGCCAAAGCCCGGCAATAGGTCACCCATCCTATTAGCAAACCCCCTCCGCAGCCTGACGCTTGCTCCAGAAGTGGAGCACGAGGCAACGAATTACTTCGAATTGCACACTTTTCAGCACGGGTCTCATTTCACCCAAAGCCGCTGGACAGGATGGCGATTCTCCTCAGCCGCTCAAGGCACTTGGAGGCCGCGATATGCCGCGATTTCCCCGTTTTCCCCGGCCTGATCCTCCTGGCGGATGGCCTCGAAGGCTCGAAGAATCTCCGCATGGATCGCCTCGCACGGAAGCGCTCGAACGCGCTCGCGGGCAGAAGCACTCAAAAGGGGCACGCAGCGCGCCTCCTTGTCGCGGGCTCCGTCCACGTCATGCCAGTTGACTTGGGCGCGGAGCCGCGGGTCTTTGAACTGGTTCCGCACCTCCGCCTAGCTGCGGACGGCACAAAGGCACCAGCAGAGTCACTAGCACACAAGGCCGACTCGCGGGAGTTCGGAGTGACACTGCCCGGCCTGCATCTCCGCATTCTCGTAGCGCTCGTCGCCAAAGTTGGCGCGGGACGCGCCGACCTGGCTAGTGCAAGACTTGGCTTCGCCGACAAGACCACCCAAAGCCGTTCTCGCTTGGACAAGCATTGCCCCTCGGTGCATCGGCGAGTCGTCCGAGTTGACGAGTTGACTGCCTTCTCGTCTATGTACAGGAAGAAGATGCCGTCTGGGCATGGTAGCCCCCGATCAGGAGACTGGCACCATGTGAAGTCCAGGCCTCGATTCAGAGAAATTGGAAGGTCTGAGATCATGAAATCAATGCTGTGGACTTCGAGCGAATGCTCGGCTTGCGACCTTTGGCGGCGGAGTAGGCCACTCCCGAGAAGGCATAGCGGTCGCAAATGATGGTGGTCCCAGCTTTCAGATCCTGACATCTGACACCATTTTCAGCTACCAAGGACATTCCCTGCCACTCCAACCTTGTTTGAAGTCTTGCCTCGGTTTTGCCTTAAGCCCTGATTGGAGGTTTGCCTCCGTTTGGAATCGCTAGTCTAGCTTAGTGTCCCGCCTAAAACGCCCTCCAAAGGTGCGCCCAGCTTCGACTATCCTCTTACATGACTGTTGCAGGATGTCCGAGGATGTCTGGGATGTCGCTGCATTCACACCTTCCCGCTTCCTTGCTGGGGGTGTGGAGTGTAACCGACAAAGCGAAACCACTCTGGAGTTGCCCGAAACTGGCTCCCGCTGCAAATTCCACGTCGCCTCCACGATGGACTTTGCCATCTCCCAGCGATTCGCCTATGCCGGTGGGTCTAAATGAGTGCGAGTCCGCGGATTCCAGACGGGAGCGTCCAACAAGCCGGAAGCACGCTGAAGAGCCGATGCACTGCTTCGTCCGGTAGCTCCAGTTGCCTGGCACGTGTCTCAGCACACCTTTGAACGCACCCGGAATGCATCTGCCAGCTTCATTGCGCCCCCAGGCCTCCGCAAGTACAGGTCAATGGCCGTGCCAATGGCCGTCTTACGGTTTGGGAAGCACATCCACTTCACCTTGCCGTAGCCCACCTGCGAGACGGACTTCCCAGACGGGGAGAGGGTCAGCGACAGACTTGTTGCTTCCTGCTTTGGCGCCTTCTGCAAGTGGGCCTCCAGCTTCTTGCTCTGTGTGGACTTGCCGCTGCGGTCCAGACCTCAGGCAGCTCAGCCCAGCTCCAATCGCCCGGAAACCACACGCCACATACTCACATGACATTTGGCCGCAGACCCTCAAAGACCAGGAAGAGGCCCCGTGCTTGCGCAGCGCCCCACTTGGGCTTGTCCTAGCTCCGAATTTGTCGGCAAGCTCCCTGAGCTCGAGCTAGTCCTCCAAGGGCGTGTCCAGAAGCTGCATGGCTTCTTGTACGGCGGTCAACTGCACCTGCATGGTATCATGTTGACACCGAAACTGGACTGCAGGCCCTTCTTTTCAGCTCTGTGGGGGCGGCACTGCATTCAGTGTCTGCTTAGCGCTTCTCAGGGCAGCAGACACCTTTGGCGCGTGCAAGGCAATGCGTTGATCGCCTTGCGGGGCCATGGAACTGTCAGCCTGAGGCTCTGGCCGTCTGCACCAAGCCAGCGCTCATCGGCAGACCTTGTGCAAACAGCTTGCCGCCGTTGCACGTCGCATTTCGCATGGCAATGCGACACAAAGCAAACTGGAACCTGGGGCTAGCGCGGCTGGACTGGAACTCTGCCAGGATCTGATCCTAAGGGCGAAAAAGGGCGTGGTGCGAGCCAGTGAGCGATCGTGTCCTCACTGGGCAACGGAGGTAGACACACTTGAGGGATCTCTGCCCTGGGTGCACGGGGTTTCACAACCAACAATCGCGGTTTGAAGGCCTGTAAGGCTCGAGAGGCTCATCCAGGATGCAGGCCTCAAGATGCCGCTGTGCCGACCGGACATGCCAAGGATTTTGTAGCCTTGGTGCTCTCCACGAAGCTGTTGACTTCGGACATTTGCTGTTGCAAAGCACTCTCCTGGCCGAACAAACAAGGCAAGGCAGCCAAGGCCAGGCCAACAGGCCAGGCATGCAGCACCTTGCCGCAGCGCTTGCACGCCGCCAAGGGCGCGTCCTCGTTGGTGAAAGCGGTGTAAAAGCATGGAAGGCCCTTTTGTTCCCCAGACCCTCTGGACAAAGGGTTGCCAATTCGAACCATGTGCAAGATCAAGTGTGACCTCCATGCAACCAAACTCTCCAAGCTTGTTTGCAATCAACTGCCCGCCTTGCGTGTTCGTAGTCTTTGCCGTACAGTTGGCCACCTGCTCTGATGCTGCCTGAACAGTTTGCCAGTGGACTGAACTGCTGCCCATGGTAAGAAATTTAACAAAGCGGCCTGTTCCACTCTTTCTGAGGTAGTCTCAGCTTCTTGAATCATTGCATCCTCTTCCTGCCAATCAATCAAATGGATGAACACTACAGTACCAAGAGGGTTGCAACATCTGAGGGCCTGGCGCCTGCATGCCTGCACAACACCTCCCCGACAGAATCCCAACTTTTCCGCCTCGAGCGTGGCACAAGTGGCCCACAAGAATTCCGTTGAATCACACGAACAGCTGGGCAAGCGCACGCTTGCTCTTCTGCTTCCAGAGCATGACTGCGGTGGGACTCCAAGGCTTTGCTTCCTGATGACGCCTCGTCCTGTCCATGTCAGTGCTTAGTAAAGTTCTAAAGCCCTGCATAGCCCTGGCCTGCACCTTGTCTGCGCTTTCGCTCGCCTCCTGCTTGATTTGGCTGAGGACTTCATTCTGCATGTCCTCCAGGCTTGTGATGGCCTCCATGGCGCTGGTCAGCGACGTGTCGGAGATCCCCGACAGCTCGCCCACCGCCGCCGAGGCCGCAGCCAGCGCGGCGGCGGCGCGCTCCGCCGCAGCCGACAGGGCCGCCTTCTGCGTGGCCACGGCCGCGCGGAGCGCCTCCGCGCGGCCGGCGAAGGCCGCCGCCCGCCGCGCGCGCCTCGCACGCGGCGGAGCCGCCCTGCGCCGCCGCCGCCGCGGAGCGCAGCGCCGCCTCCGCCGCGCCCAGCGTCGTCGCCGCCTGCGCCGCGGACTGCGCCAGGTCGTCCCGGGCCGCGCCGGAGAGGTCCGCCAAGGCGCCGTGGGTCTCGGCGCGTTGCCTCCGCACACGCTCCGCCAAGCCGGCCACGCACTGGCGCTGCCGCTGCTGCTCTTCAGACAGGCTGGCCAAGGCGGCCTTGTGCACCGAGCTGGTTTCCAGGATCATGGACTCCGTCTCGGCCGGCGATGCCGCAATCGAGACCTCCTGCGCCTGTTCGCGCACTTCAGAAGGTGGCGCCGGCAGAAGCTGCTGCAGCTTTGCATGGATGTCATGCTCGATAGTCCGGCATTTCTCTTCTCGATGAGACTGCGACGTCCTGATCTGCTCAGTGGCAAGGGAGATTCGTTGCTCAAGCTGCAGTCGGTGCTCATCTGCAGCTTTGAGAACAGACTTGAGCCCGACTGCCGCCTCACACAGGACTGAATTTGGCTTGTTTTGGTGTGTCACTGTGCCTCGTGACGGCCGGCAGCAAGAGAAGCAAAGCGTTCCTTCGCAAAGGACTGCTCCTGCCAAATTGCCCCCTATGGCTGTTCTTTCGACTTTTTCGCCTTGCTTGCGCCCTTTCCATCCCTTTCCATCCTTTTCCCCACTCCCGGCTCCCTCCCTCCCTCCCTCCCGCCCGCCCTCCCCCTGCCGGCTCCCTCAGTCCTCGCAGCTGAGCTGCGCCTTGCGGAGCTCCTGGGCCAGCTGCTCCAGCCGCGCCTCCGCCTTCATGGCGCGGTCGGCCTCCTCCTCAAAAAAGAAGAAAACAACGGCACAACCCGCGCAACCGCCCGCAACCGCCCGCAACCGGCCGCAACCTGCCGCAACCGGCCGCAACCGGCCGCAACCGGCCGCAACCGGCCGCAACCGGCCACCGACCCTCCCCGCACGGTCCGCACTCGGCCTGGGCTTCTTGGTACTTGCGGCCCAAGGCCACCTCATGTGCTCAGGTACGGTCAGAACCGAGCCGTCCATCCCCGTTTCCTGCCTGTGCCTCTTCGAGCTCCTGAGACAGGTACGTCACCTCCGCGCTTGTCTTCATGTCTGGCTCAGCTCATGAAGCGACGCCTTCATCTCCAGCTCGGCCCAGTCTGAGGCTCCGAGGCCCGAACTGGAGCCTAGAATGAGAATAATGACAATGATGAGAATGATGAGAATGGAGAGGGCTCACATTCTCTCCATTCTCATTGGCCGCGGGCTCACATCGTGCACGGTTCTCGCGGCAGAGGCCACCGTGGCAGTGCGCAGCAGGGACGATGCTACAGGCCTGCCACGAGATGCGACAGCTCCGCTCTCCGCTCTCTCCGCTCTCTCCGTTCTCTCCGCTCTCTCCGCTCCTGTTCTTGATGCCAGCCGCTTGCTCAGCATACTGCAGCGCTGAGATCGTCTCCTCGACCGCTGCAAGCGCCTGAGCTGAGAGAGGCAACGCTTCGGTCTCGGCCCCCGGGGCCCTGGCAGGTGAGATGGTGGCAATGATCACGGTTTTGCAGCGACCTCCGAGGGCATCCTGCAGAAGGCGTGTCCTTGGCAAGTGCACGGCCTGGTTCTGCGCAAGACTCTCCAACTCTCCGTTTTGCACTTTCAAGAGAACGGACTTGCAACAGCCCCTGTTTTCAATCTCGCATCTAGCGGCAACGGCTGCGTCGGTGTGACTGAGCCGGTCCTTCCTTAGACGACGGGGTCCTTGTCCGACCTCCGCGAGATTGCTTTCTCTGGTTGAGGTCGTCACTGTGACCATCTTCCCGGGTCGCATGTCGAGCACAAAGTAAGCTGTGCAAATCACAGCCAGGCCTCCAGAGCGGCATCGCCGGCGAGCTTCTCGTAGCTGTCTCTCAACTTGCCCCCCAGGCGCTGGCCACCTGGAAGACTGCGAAACTGGGACACGTAGTCCTTGGTGGCCGCATGCCGCGGGAACTCCAGGATTCCGCCGGCAGCGCCCACTTCGCAGATGTGGCCATCGTGCAGAAAGGCCAAGTCATCCGCCACAATGTGAATCTGATGCAGCTCCGTGGTGATGTACAGAATCCCCAGGCAGAGCTCTGCTTGCATCCGCTTCAGCATGCGCAAGACCCGAGGCTGCCGAATGGAGTCCAGGCCGCCCAAGAGTTCATCACAAGCAAGGATCACAGAGCCGCCCCTTGCCGCACTGATGCATCTCGCGAAATACCTCAGGATATAGATCAAATGTTTCTGTCCGCCGGACAAGTGTCCATATTGTACTCCATCACGGATGTAGTCCTCGGGGCAGCCCACTGGCTCTCCAGTTTCTTGGTTGTACATCTGGAATCCCGCCGCTTCCAACATCTTGATCACCTTCCGACGCTCCGGGTGTGGCAGCTTGGGGAACTCATCTGCGATCACACTCTCGATAGTTCGACTTGGCGGAATACTCTCCTGGCTTCTTGGGAGAACCAACAGCCAACCTCAAATTCACGGCACCAAAACACATATTAGCACCTGCTTGGGCGGATGTTGGTGGAACATGAGGTTTTCCTGTTGACTGTGCCACAATAAAACAACATGGTCAACTGCCTGTTCTGAACAATTGGACTCCCAGCAAAAGAGCCCCAACCAAGAATAAGCCAGCGTCCTTGTCAGAAGCTTCGCTGGACAGGTGCAGCACCAGCTGTTGTGTGGAGCTCTTCCTGAAACACGAAAACCAAACGACAAATGCCACCATCACGCTGGCAGAGAGTCCAACCGCAGCGCGCGTGTCATGTGCAGCTGCAAAAGACACTGCCAGCACAACAATCGCCAGCGCCATCGATACCTGTGCGAAGGTGAACGCTGGCGGCGGATCAGAGCCTGCTCCGTGATGTTGGACTGTGCCCGAACTAGGTCTCAACTGACCACGCATGATGCGGGCCAAGGTCGTCTTGCCTGCAGCATTGAGGCCCACCAAACCCAAGCACCATCCTTCCCTTAACTCAATGTTTACGCCCTTCAGAACGGGCTCGGATGCATAGTCAAAGGTAAGTGCGTCTGTCGACAGCAGCAGGCGCTTGTTCTTGCCCTGGCTCTCTCGCAGGACGGGCTTGGGAGCCTCGTAGAGCTCCTTGGAGAAGATCTTCTTGCCGTCCAACTCTGAGTCAGACTGCGCCTTGGGCTCCTTGGGCTCCTTGGGCTCCTTGAGCTGCTGAAGCTGCGCGCGCACCTCCGCGTTCTGCGGCTCCAGCTGCAGCGCCGCCTCGAAGTCCTCCTTGGCGAGAGAGGCGAGAGAGGCCGAGGCCGAGGCCAGCTCGGCGAGGCGGCGCCGCGCCAGGCCCCGGCGGTAGAAGGCCTTGGCGCTGCGCTCCGAGGCCAAGGCCCCCGAGGCGTGGTCCACGGCGGAGCCCAGGTTGCCCCGCCGCAAATGCGCCAACGAGGCGTTCAAGTGCAGCGCCGCCCGCAGCGCCGCCACGCGCGCAGGCGGCGCGCCCGCGGCGCTCGCGTCTCTGCACTGGCACTGCAGCAGCGCCACCAGGCCGCGGTCGTAGCACTGCACCGCCTCCGCCAACAAACCGCGGCCCAGCAGCTCGTTGCCCTCCGCGCGGCATGCCTCCGCCTCGCCCACGCCCGTGTCATCAGCCATGCCGATTGGAAAGACCCCCACGTGGACTTGAGCCACTTCGCCCTTCAATTGAGACAAAGGTCCAAGGCCAAAAGTCCAAAAGTGCCTGAGCACCGCGCAGCTTTGAATCACGGTACGGAACTCGACCGCTGCCCTGCCAAGCTTGTCAGGGTCCGAATCGACGGCAATTTACAGCAGTTGCGCGGCACCTCGCGCAACGCTGTGATGACACGACCCAGGGACAGCAAGCTCTGATTGATGTTTCTCCGCCTCATTCCCGTGCTGTGCAATGCATTGCAGCTCTGAGGTTGCTCTCTGAGGTCTGCACTCGCGCTCCTCCTCCCCTGCCATCACGCGCGCAAACGAAGGGTCCTGGGACGTGACAGGCCGCATGGAACAAATAGATCCGCGGCGCCGTCCGCGCCTGCGCCTGGGCATCTGGGTAGAGGTACCCCTTCTTGGCGCACTCGCTGCCAGCCAGGTCCACCAAGTGCAGCTTGCCCTCCGACTATTGACCGTCAAAGCAAATCGGATAGCACAAACTTGGGAACCGAATGGAACCAAGATGCGAGATTCTCCAGCTCACCACCGGCCACAGCCCTTCGGCAGCGCACCTTGCAAGTTCACCCTGACGCCCATCACTCCCATCACGCCCGCGTGCCCTTGATGCCTTTCATGCCTTTCATGCCCTTCATGCCCTTTAGCTCATGTTCTCGCATCGCCTTCATGGTGAAGATGCTGTGGGAGCGGCTGCTGCGCGCGTTCACCCGGGTCTCTGCCACCCGGCGCTTTTCCTGGCAACACGAGTCAATGGGAGAATCTTGATTAAATTGCCGCGAAACACGGCACGGTCCTGGGCCCTGCGTACGACTTCGAGGATATCTTGCATGGAATGCACTTCCACCTCACAAGGCTCAAGCTTCCCCAAAATGATAAAAATCCTTTGTGAGCCTTGCTTTTCTCTGAGCAACGCACTTCTGACAGGCCTTGGCAAAGCACACCTCGACCTCCCCCCACATCCTGCCAGTACGTTTCTTCGACATGTCGGCTGCTATCGGCCGCTGCAAGCTGTGCCTTCAGATCCAATTTTGGATGGCGCTCTGCGGTAGAAAGCAAATCGCTCAGCTCCTGGCACCGGAATCAAGTGGAACAGGTGACAGCGTAGGAATCTGCCTCGTTGTAGATCTCCAGGTATGAGACGGTCACCGTGCTTTCGGTGAACTCCGCGCCTGCCTCGGTGGAGCGGCGAGAACCGCGAGAACGGCGAGTTCAGAGTCGAGGAGTCGAGAGAAACTCCTGGCTGAGGGCAGCACCAGTGCCTCCAGCACTGCCGCAGCTGTGCGAGGCACCAAACCACGTCCTGAGACCCCCCCCGGGAACAACAATACAACATATACATAGTGAAGCACTGCTAGATGACATGCCACATCACTAACATCAGCCCATGGAGCCTTCCCTGCCATACTACTTCCGACCAATTTGAGTCCTTCAGATGAATCCAGTTGGCCCTCCATCCTGTCAAGCGCTGGCATGATTTACAGAGCAAGGACCACCAAGCATGGCAGGCGCACGTGTACCTTGGTGCATTCCGAATTCATTCTTCGCTCTTCTCGCTCAACTTGCCCTCAATTTGCGCTCTTTTCGGTCTAAGCTTCCAGCGTCTTTCCGGTACCAGTCTGCCCATAGGCAAAGGCGGTCGTCTCATAGCCGGCCAGGACCTTGCCAGGCACCGGAGTCCCGAAGTTGAGTTCCGCGATCAGTGCGATCTGTGCCGCCCTTCGGACCCTTCGGACCCTTCGGACCCTTCGGACCCTTCTCTCCCCGAAACGAACCCCGAACTCCGTCCCGAAACGCCGAAACGCCTGGCCAACCAGAGGCTGCAGAGTCGATCTAAAGACATCCTCTTGCGAGCTGAAGGATGTGAGCACGTCGTCGAAGTGGAAAGTGGATCTCACCTGAAGTTACCCAACTCATTCTTCATTCAGATTCGTTCATCTTTGTTTTGATTCTGCAAATCTCAATTTGGAATCCTGCCTGCCGTGTGCCCCCAGCAAAGATACGGACCTCTGGCATTTTCTGCGAGCGGATGAGCCAGAAAACTGAGGCGCGAACCACTGCAACTTCCTTGCGCTCAGTGGAGGCTGTTGCAGCAGGCGTGGCACCAGCCTGAATCTCATCCAAGTTGCTCTTTCGGAGTGCCGGAAACACGGAAGCAAAACGGGGTGCCTTCTTCTCCCTCTCGTTCATGGGCCGAATGCGGCATACCACCCGGACGTTACTCGTCGGGATCTGACACAGCCATGATGCTCACTTGGCAAGTCATGTATTCTTCGCCTCGGGATCTCTGTCCCCACTTGGTGTGGCAGGGCGGCTGCGCGTTTGCCTTTTGCTGCAAGTGTGAAAGACTCTTGCAACGGCTCACATTCAAGGCATGTGCATGTCATGCAGAGATGCGCAGCGGCCTTCGGCATGCATTGCCGCGTTGTTCGCAAACATCAGGCTCAAACATAGCTAAAGCCCCGCGTGACCAAGTCTTGAACACTATGGTCTGCAGGCTGCATAGTGGGGCGCTCGACGCATGAATGCGCCTGCCCTCAGGGCAAATTGTTAAAATAGGGGGTCACGAGGGTGAAGGGAAAAGGGGACCCACTTTCCATAACCTCCACGAACTTCGTGTGCCGGACAGTTGCCATGTCTTTGAGCATCAGCCAAACTGGCGATCGCCTGATTGGATTCTGTACGCTGAATTTGCCCCTGCCGCAGCCCTATTGACAATAAGGGAGGAGCAAACACCAGCGGGTGCTTCGTAACTCGTCATGGGAGGCTTCCGAGACACCCCCTTCTCTTGCCCAAGATAGCTTGGTTTTCTGTGCTCTCGTAAAGTGGGTCCGTAAAGTTTCTTTCCTGACTACCGTGACCGTGCTTCTTCTCTGAGTATGATAGGATGAGTCCGTCACGGGCAGTCAGTCTCCTTTCAGCTTTTTTGTTTTTTTCCCCGGCCTTCGCGCAGCAACTGCGCTGCAAACTAAGTTTGCGCACAGCCGCAGGCGTAAAATAGATTCTGCTATCCTACAAAAGTTTGTGCCAACGTCACGTTTCGCCGCGTGTTGAGTTATACATAATGTTTTAGTTGTATCAATATCAAAATACATTAAGATGATGGGTGCTAATCAAGGCCAAGCCATTCAACAATTTACAGTCGAAAGACTTGCTTGTGCCGTTCTGCTCTTTCGTGCCTCGATTGAAGAGTAATCACCATGATGTTGCAACAGCGGACATTCACCCTGTTTTTTGATGACCTTTTTCATTCACTTGGTCTTACTCCAACTATGTGCTCTCTAGCCTCCTTCTCAAAACCTTCTTTTCGAACATTGTTTGCAATTGGGTTGGGACGGGAATGCGAATGGAACGGGAACGGGCATAGGATAGGGAATGGGCACGGAAACGCATCGGTTAATGTCCCTGTCCTTGGCATTTGAGAATTGTATTTGAAGAAGGCTTCCGGAATACAGTTGATACTGGTCGAGTTTGCATCGCCTTTGAGAGTTGTAGAGGGAGGCAGTCAATTTGTTCTTAGTACTGCCTGCCACTACTTTGCATTAAACAGCTGTGCAAACACATCAGTCGCGCCTGGTCGCGTCCCCTCGAACACATGGCGGCGTGTTTGCAGCGCCCCTCAAGCTCCCAAGTTAACCAGAATTCCAACTTTCATGGCAAACCGCTTTTAGGAAAGCTTGGGAACAGGTCTGGCTGCTTTGGGGAAAGGAACCAGCACAAAAAGTTGCAAATGAAAATCCTGGGCAATAAGGAGTGCTGAAAAGACTTGCAAGTGTTTCAGCCCCCTGAAGCAGTTGCTATTTAGGTTTAACAAGGGAAACATATTGTGTTGATTTGAGGCCAGGTCAAAATAAGAACATGATCTGTCCCTTACTTGGGTGCCCTTTACTCCTCTTCAAGGGCTCCAAAACATGACAGTCACCTCAAAGCCCTCCTGTCAGCACGGCAAGCAGCGATGCCCAGCCGAGTCTTCAATCAGCTTTCAATCAATGTGCGAGGCTCTCGAGCCAGCGAAGCAAGGGCTTTGCCATTGTCTCTTCCCATCCCGGATCCACAAAGCAATGAGCTTGACCCGGAACCACCAATTCCTGGCAATCTCCGAAAGCCGAAGCATGCCTGCAGTGATCTGCATCTCCTCTGCTTGCGCAAAGTACTTGCGGAAGTACGGGTTCCTCAGCTATCGCGACGTTTCAAAGCGTTCACAGCAAACCGTTTCTGACCTCAAAACCAGAAACCGAGCGTGGGCTTAGGTCCGAGTCACAAGGCCTTTGGAGGATAGATGACATCTGCTTCGGCCCCAAGTAGCAGCACGGGTTTGTGCCGCATGGCCGGGAAGCTGGGTCTGAGCCTCTTGAGACACGTGAATGCAAGTCACAGGCTGGAAGAGAATTACCCGGAAAGGACTTGCGCCCAAGGCGCCAAAAGGGATGCTCCGTGGTCGGCCAGCCGTCGCAGGGTGCAGCAAGGAGGCGTTTCACATAGCCCTCTTTGCCTCCTGGCAATGAGATGCTCTCGGTCGTCCTTGGAGCGCGGAGTGAAAGCTTCTGAGTCCGAGGGAGCTTCTCTTCGTTGGGGTCAAGGATCTTCATTGGCAATGCAAAGACGAGTCTACACGGACATGTTGTGACCAATTGGGCGGAAAGGCGCCTCTTTCAAACCCAAAGGAACTGTGCAAAGGATGCGGGCGAACGAATGGCGACGCGATTGCAGCCAAGCGGCGGAAGCAGAAAAATACGCTGCACCAGGGAAGAATCCCACATGCGCCCTGTGAAGAGATAGAACAGTAGTGCCACAAAGCCGTGCTCTTTGAACACATTGGTTTTCTCATTCATCATGGCCGTCCCGGCTCCGACGGAGCTAATTGGCACGGTGGCACTCAGAACGGCTGCCAACATGCAGCTTGGGTTCTGTGGCACATAGTCACGCATGAGGCGCTGGAGGAGTATTCCCCCCTGGCTGTGCCCCAGAAACACGGCCTGCTTCAGCGCCAGCTGATCCAAGGTTCGACTCAGCATGGCCAAGTGATCCGCCGCGAAGATGCAGCGACCGGGTTGCAGGTCGATGGCATAAGATGCGAATCCGCGGTCCGCGAGGAGCTGCTGGAGCGCCTCGAAAAACCATGCGCCATGCCACATGCCGGGAATCAACACCACGGCGGGCTTTCCCGTTTCCGACTTTGCGGGGACGTGAACCACGTCCAGCAAGCGCCACAAGCGCCGGCGCCGCCAGAGCAGAAGCAGCGGAACTGCCGCGGCACCAATCAAAGCGAGCCTCTTGGGCTCCATGGCTCTCACTCGCAGGATCGAACGCTAATGGGGCGACAGCGGCATACAGTCATGTCATGTGTATATACTGTGTGACATGTAGAGTGTGAATGGCATAAGGGTGCAAGATCTGAATGATTGAATGTACGATTCGAGCCGGTTTACCTTGGAACCCTCGAGACAAATCAAAAGCAACAAGGCAACAATTGTTCTGAGGTCATGCACTGATTTGCTACATGTGCGTCAAGCGAGCACGCTACACCAAGCGACACAAGGATGGCGCAGCCGATGGCTTTTCACAACGCTGATTTGAGCCTTCGGCCACTATTGTCCGGCAGCAATGCATCCTCCACCTCATTGGGTTAAACTTGCAAAGTGGGAAGCCCCAATGCCTGCCATGAGCTTTCGGCAGATGTCCAGTGCATGGGGTGGAGCCTTGGCATCTCATTCTGCTTCGGGATTGTGCTTGCCGGGGCCCGAACCGGTACCATTCGACGGTGCGCTGCAAGCCCTCCTCGGGACAGTTGTGCTGGAAAGTGGAAAGTGCGAGTTGAAAAGGGATGCAGCGGAGTCAAACATTTTCGTGGCAGCAAGCTTCTTGCTCCAGAACCAGACATACCAGACGTACCAGACGTACCAGACGTACCAGACGTACCAGACGTACCAGACGTACCAGACGTACCAGACGTACCAGACATACCACGTACGTTGCGTACCACACCGCAAGCCCACAGCCTGGAAGGTGACGGCTGGTTCCCAGCCGAGACTTCTGATCTTGGAGCTCTGTACCTGGCCCATTCGCTCAGATCTCATCAGACAGCTCAGACAGCTCAGACAGCTCAGACAGCTCAGACAGCTCCACTCAGCTCACGTCGTAGGACGCATCGTTCTTCACCCGGTCCGCCACAACCTGGCGGTCGCAACAAGCAAAAAAGACTCAGCTCAGGAATACTCAAGCTGCTGAAGCATGACAAATGGTAAATGAGCAAAGCGCCTCCATGTGTTTCTCTGCATCAGCAAGATCAACGCCAAAGTGCGGCATCAAGGCCCGAGCAACCTGAGCCGCGAGTTCGCGAGTTCAGGGCTAGAAATGTGGGCTGCCCACTGGCCTCCACTACAGACTTGGTGCTCCCTGGCTCTGCCCCGATGTTGTAGGCCTGCGAGACTGGGCTTCAGAACAGTCGCAACAAGGAGTGGCGAACGCAGCCAGCCAGTTTTCGAGACCAGTTGTGAGCAACCAGGCTTTCCACCAACATCATTGTCGAGATCTCTCGTAAACTCAAATGAACACCACCTTAAAGCCCTTCAGGGTTGGCTCTACACAACTTGACAAGGGCATGAAGGACGGACAAAAAGAAGCGGCACAAAATCTTGGGGCAAAGCTGCGTGCAAAAGTTGGCAACGGTAACTGCGCGCATGTCTGCCTCCCCTGGCTTGCCCCGGCGCAAGACCAGGTCAAAGGCCTGAAAGGAATTCAGCCGCGATTTGTGCAGCGCTTGAGCGCCTTCGCAGCATCTTCCACAAAGAGGAAGGATCGGCGCGCAACGCCGCCTCACGGCATCGCCGGCATCAAGCCGCAACGGTTGCACGCGTGCGCATGCCCACAGGCCTCCATGCAACGGCAGGGTTTGCTGGCGCTGCAGTCTGAAGATGAATTTGGGAATCATCCTGCTGCAAATCTAGAAGCCGCTTTTGATCAGAAAAAGCATGTAGCTTCTCAGCTTGTGGCTTCTCTGGGTACTGCCGAGGACCGTAGATGTTGTTGGGGCGCACCACCTGTCTTCCATGAGGTGCGAAGACTTCTGGCAAGCGCAATCAGGCAGGCAAGGCCACAATTGGAAGATCCCGGCCAAACGACTCCATCTGAGATGCACTCAGTGCGCTCGCTGGACGGCGTAAACAGATTGGGCCCAGCGCATAACCGTGCACCAGGCACTCTGCAGCTGCCTTTGGTGCACGCACAATGGCACATCGCAAATCTGACAGGGCACGCAGCTTTCCTTGGAGGCGCTGTAGGGATTGCCCGGGATGAAGGGGTCGCCCTCTGCAAAGCGTCGGTTGCCGACCTAGCTAGTCCATGCGGACCTTCTCTCAGGCTTGGATTAGCTTGGGCTCCACGCATTCTCCCCATAAACTTCGTCAGTGCCTGCTACGTCCGCATGGCTGGCCGTCAATATTTTTGGCTCAGTCCCTGACTAACGTGGAGGAATCGCCGGATACCGCGCTCCAGGGATGCCTTGTACCAAGGAAACTCAAATGTGAAAGGCCAATATGACACGTGGCTTGTTGACATGCCTGCAGTAGAACCGCAGTGCCAAGCACATTCACCTTGCGGCGCAGGCATGAGGTCCTAAGGTCGTTTAAGAAAAAAGCAGCCTGGGTGAACTTGAACGGCACCACGAAGGATCTGTCGACGTGCGTCTGTGCCTCAGCTCGTGAGTGTCCAGTCTCAAGGCTGTCCCCCTTCGGGAGCGGGCAGCAAAGTGCATCACGGTGTCGACGCGATGCTGGATCTGATTTCCCGGCAAAAGGCGAGCGGCAAAGCTTCCAAAGCAAAGCAGGTCGGGCAAACCATGACCTCCCGCACTGTGTGTTCGCACCTAGCAAAAGATGCGTCCAACAGCCCAGCACTTTCGGTGTTCTGAGTGCCCCTCAGAATGTCCCCCTTGACAAAGCTGAAGTTAGCAGCGTCAGCCAGGGGGTGGAGGTTGGCAAGGTTGGAGCCTTTTTGCAAGGGACAAACGTGGCGAAGGTTCAAAGCTTCTCATGAGCAGGGCGCCTTCAGACAAGTTGTCGAGGCAAACGAAGCTGACCTGCAACTCTGTCTTTCGACCCAAGGGTGCTGAGTTGCTCCGCCTCCGGGTATTTCTGCACAAGGTAGATCAGAACATTGGACCTCAAGCTACACTCTGAGACCTTATATTGAGCCCACCTTACGCCCTGCGCACACTCGAGTTGCTTGCCCTGCCAGAGACATCCTCTGCACCCACCGGGCCGCAGGCCCAATGAAGCCGGCGCCGCCCGTGAAGAGGACCCGCCTCAACAACAGAAAATAGGCAGCCTGAGTCAGCAAACAAAGAGGCAACCCACCATGCAAATGGACCTGTGTCCCATTGCCCTCCAGTTGACCATAGCGGGGCAACAAAAATTCAAAGATCGCGTTCTTTGAGCCAAGCCCGTCAACTGAAACGCTCTTCAGGACCGGGCTTCGGCGCAAACTCTGAGTCCTGCAGCCATTCAACCGGAACTCGCTTCAAGCGTCAAGCGCGCTGCGCCACGCGCTCCTCGCTCTGCCCCATTGCGGATGTAAAGGCCGGTGTTCAAGTCTAGTATGGAAGAACATTGAGAACCCATTGCCTAGCTACCTCCAATCCAAACCGGTGCGTTCAAACATGCTATTCCCTTGCTTTGTGCCACGTTGTTTCTCAACCCATCAGAGGGTAGCTGCAGAAGCCGGCGGGCCACGCATGGAACATAAGATGCAGGAACGTCGGCTTTCTTGCCAACAACATGCGAAATCATGGGAGCAAATCAAGGTTTGCTGCTGCAGGGCGCCAGTGCGCCAACGGTGCTGCCGCAGCTTGGGCTCTCAAGGCCAATCACGACAACATTTCAAGGTGCGGAGTTGAAGGTGCTGGGCGATCAGCAAACCCCTAGCGGCCAGGTGTGCTTCAGGACATAGAAAGGCCCGCTGGCTTCTATCTTTCTAATTACTTAATCTATGCATCTATCTATCTCTTTCTATCTTTCTTTCTGTCTAATATACCGATCTATCTATCTATCTGTCTGTCTATCTGCTTGTCAAGAAGCTAGCGATCGATCTAATCGATCTATCTAGCTATCTATGTGTCTGTCTATTGATCTTTTAATCACCTACCTACCTACCTACCTACCTATCTATCGATCTATCTATCTATCTGATCTATCAATCTATCCATCCATCCATCCATCCATCCATCCATCCATCCATCCATCCATCCATCCATCCGCCTGCCATGAAATCTGCACTTGATGTTGCGAAAGCGCTGTGCCTGCCACGAAATCTGCACTTGACCTTGCAAAAGTGGCGCGCCTGCCGAAGAATCTGCTGCGCCTGCCACCAAATCCACACCTCACCTTGCGAAAGCCCTATGCCTGCCAGTTGACGCGCCAGTGGGCCCACGCTCCAGACGCGCTCCGAACATGGTCCGAGGTCGCTCTGAGCCCGCTCCAACCAGGCATCGCGACCAGGCTAACTCTCAAGCATCCCGAAGTTCTCCCGCCACACGCGCACGGTATTTTTCCCGCGTGCCTGTTCCTTCTTTGTCATCTGATTCAGAGAGCTAGCTTTCAATTAGTTCCATAACCCCGAAGTTCCTCCTAAACTTCCTTTGACCAAACTGGAGTGTTTGGTGCAGCACACGCTCCGTGTCAGCCAACACGCGCCCACCAAGCAGCACTTTGTTCAGGTTCTTTTGCCTGGCAATCCGTCATTGTCAGCCCTGCTCACTGCGGGTCAGGGTCGTTGTCCAACAGCGTCCGAGCCAAGACGTGCTCAGACCTTGACAGGCCCCAAGCCACAGCCACCTAGACTCACTAGACTCACTAGACTCACTAGACTCACTAGACTCACTAGACTCACTAGACTCACTAGAGACTCACTAGACTCACTAGACTCACTAGACTCACTAGACTCACTAGACTCACTAGACTCACTAGACTCACTAGACTCACTAGACTCACTAGACTCACTAGACTCACTAGACTCACTAGACTCACTAGACTCACTAGACTCACTAGACTCACTAGACTAGACTCACTAGACTCACTAGACTCACTAGACTCACTAGACTCACTAGACTCACTAGACTCACTAGACTCACTAGACTCACTAGACTCACTAGACTCACTAGACTCACTAGACTCACTAGACTCACTAGACTCACTAGACTCACTAGACTACTAGACTCACTAGACTCACTAGACTCACTAGACTCACTAGACTCACTAGACTCACTAGACTCACTAGACTCACTAGACTCACTAGACTCACTAGACTCACTAGACTCACTAGACTCACTAGACTCACTAGACTCACTAGACTCACTAGACTAGACTCACTAGACTCACTAGACTCACTAGACTCACTAGACTCACTAGACTCACTAGACTCACTAGACTCACTAGACTCACTAGACTCACTAGACTCACTAGACTCACTAGACTCACTAGACTCACTAGACTCACTAGACTCACTAGACTCAAGGCTGAGGCACAGGCACTGTGTGAAGGTGGTGGATAAGCGGAACATTCCTCAATCACCCCAAATCTCACACATAATGCCCGCATTCGCGCTTGTCCTGCCATCCCAGAACTTCATGCAGTTCTTCTGTACAGCTTCCAAACGATGAGCTTTGCCTTGACGCGCACACGCACACACATTGACAGTGTCCTTTCAACGTCCCAACCCCAGCAAATTGCCCATGCCAGTCAGGGCGCAATACGTGAGTGCGTCAGCCTTCTCCTCAGCAACTTCCAGAGGCAAGGGCTGGGAGCGGCAAGGAGCTAATGGTCTGCGCCTTGAAGCGAGTCATCTGCGCCAGCTCCTCACATTTTGCCACGTGAGCGGCAAAGCTTGGGCGGCCAAGCCTTGATGGCCGCTGTCTCCCCATGCTCCGACTCGCCGTTGATGGGATTCTGCTGCATCTCCCAGCAGCCCAAGGGATACTCCTGCACTTTTGCACTGCGCTTCACGCTGCCGGGCGATCCTTTGGCTTTCGGTCGCCCGATCCTTGTTCTTGTGATTCTTGGCAGGTTGGCCACAGCCGGAAGCCCCAGGAAAAGCCACCTGGATTGCGAGACCAGCCGATGGGTCGACTCGGAAGCGATCGCCGCCTTCACCTGCAAGGGAGGCCTCAGCGTGCCAGGTCTCAAGTCTCTCAAGTCTCTCAAGTCTCAAGCACCACGTGCAGTCCAAGCACAGGATGTTCATGGCAAGGGCCGGGTAGATGATGTCTTGGGAGCAAGAGTCGGGCCATTCGGAGCGGCCCTTCATGAACCTTGGAGAGTCAAGTTCTCACTCCGTCGCTCCAACGGTTTCGGGGGCCGGGCAGGGGGCACCCAACTGCACGGCCCTCCTTGGACGTCTCATTGTCAGCGCCCGCCACTTTGCCCAGCCGATGCCAGTTCTCTTTCATTGCCTTGACACTTCTTGCGGACATGGCAAAAAGCAGCCCGCCAAAAGCGCCTGGACCAGCTTCCGATTGAAGACGAAGGCGTTGCCCCACCTGCTCAAAGTTGTGCATGGCCGACTTCTGCTTTCAACACAGCTGGTCAAAACTTGGTTGGCTGGTCTCAGACAAGACGCATGAGCAGAATCGGGCCATCTGCAGCTGCTTTGTCTTCTTTGGAGCCTGCCTCAAGAGCGAATCTCAGCGAATCTCGGCGCCTGCAGCTGAATCCAGTCCTTGCCTCCATGTTGCGAAGATACGCCGCAATGGTCTCCTGGGACACAAAGGAGAATATGAGCCCGAGTGATTGTGCGGGTCCTTTGCTCTGGAGGGACTGAGAAAATGGTCGAGCTCGGAATTGAGAAGCCAGTCCTCCGAAGCCGCGAAGCAACTGACGCTCAAGCAGTCAAAGGTCCCTTGCCACTGAGCTGCAGCCGAAACTCGTACTTCTCAGCAACGCCTGACTTCAGCAAATGCTCCCACGCCGGCATCAGGCCCACCATGTTCCTGTGGTACAACCTGGGCCACTGTCGGACGCTCGACTCAACTCTTATTCTCCGAGAGTGCAGCCATTGGCCGTGCGTACGAGGCCTCAGGCTGCAGATCACGCGAGCCTCTGGCACCACAAACCAAAGACACCTGAAAACTTAAAACCAAACAGAATTGAACCACTGGCTTGCCAACGTCGAGCGTCAGCCTTTGCTGTGGAACTTCCACTCTGACAAAGTCTTCATCCTGGTTGACTGGGCTCTCCTTGTCAGTGAAGAAGAGGTGACCTCAGCTTCTCAAACGCATCGCTCTACCTCACATGGGTTGGCCTTCTGGGTGTCGCACCGTCACACTTCTTGTACTGCTTTCTCACCTCTGGTGCGAGGCAACCAAAAGCCGAGTGCAGTCATTTGGGTGATCACAAACTGGCTGAGAAGGAACCTAGCATGGCAAACAGAACATGACAGAAATATTATGATTGCCTCAGGCAGCGAAGAGATGTTTGCCGAGGTTACCATCGATATCGGGGTTCGTCTGCGGCAACGGAATAAGAGGCACCACCTTTTGAATAGTTTCAGCGCAATCTGGTTTGTGACAAGCTTTGGCCGTGACGAAGCCACCGCGTGCGAGCGACTTGACTCAAAGGAAAGGATCGCCAACTGTGTCGAAAATAAAACAAATGGATTATAAGATGTTCTGTCAGCGTGACTGCGGTGACTGCAACAAGCACTAGTGTTGATTGGCGAAAATGGGTACGCGCGCAGCCGGTTGGCTCTCAATGCACCAGATGTAGCCAAAAATGTAATGGATAGATAAGAGTCAAGCACAAGGCAAGGGAAGCTAAACAGCCTAAACAGCCTAATAACGCACAGAAGCAAGACAGGCTTTTTAACGCGATGTGCAAGGGGCAGGATCAGGGACTGCACAAACGCAACAAACAAGGGTGCTCACCCAATCCTAGGAGCGTAAGCATCTTTGCGTAAGCGTTTACGCGGACAAGGACCACTAAAGACGAATTGTGGCCGGTAGGTTGCGCTATTGGGGGGGGGCTCAGCAAAACAGTCACCAGGGGCTCAGCAACTGAGCTCTTTCGCCGGCAAGGCCCCCAGCTGCGGAAATGTATGCCCGCACCAGCTTGCTCTAATCTCTGACTCCCCATACTCACACGCACGACTGCTCGTACGCCTCTTCAGTATCATCATATTTGTGGAAGTCGCTTTGAAGAGTGGCACTGCACTTGATTGAAACCCGCTTGTTCTGTGAAGCGATTTTGGAAAAGTGCCAAAGCCAGTCTTTTGCTCGGGCAGCTCGAATGAATAGCCTGCAGAGTGGCAAAAGTTTTGGCAATACTTTGCCAGGCACACAGAGTTCTGTGCCTGACCAAAGCTGGTTCGGATATGCAGTTGCAATCACTGCGTGAGCAATCAAGGCTGGCTCTGAGAGCAATCCAACCCGAAGATCTGTTGCCCGGAGTGAGTTGAGCAGTGGCTTGCTTGAGAAAACAACCCTTTGCGCATACCAAAAGCTTCCGTGGGGGCTCACTGCGGTATGCTGCTCCGCAACCAACGAGAAAAAACGATCCTAAACCAACTGAACGCTTTCAGAGACTCAAAAACGCGTTGGCCGGAGAATGCTGTTCTCGGCTGCAGACGTCACATTTTCGTGTTTGACACAATTGGCACCTGAATTGTTCTTTCAAGAGCCGTTCAAACGAGCTGCGTCGCTTACTACTTTGAGCCCCTGTTGCAGCCCACATCGAAAGCTGTTCGGAAAATGGGAGAAGAGTTGATGCCTTAATCAAACTGTGTGAAAACTCAGGTTGAAGAAATCCGGGAATGAGACCCAAGCCGCCTCGTTCAGCATTCCCTCGTCGTTTTTCCGACGCGGTGACCAGGCGAAGCAAAGCAATGACCTTGGGGGCAAACATCCAGAAGCGACAAATAAGAACATGATAAGGACGAAGGCCTGGATGCACTGAAAAAAAGCTCTTGTATCAATGGTTCACATCACTACCGTCACTACCCCAATAACTGCCAACGTCATGAGGTGTCCTGGCTCACGTCCTGTGGCATCGTCTTCCATACCAAGATGTTGCTGCATCCGAGCCGCATTTGGCTGGACACGCCAGAGGCTTGACCACCTGCCGGGGGGGGAGTTGAATCCAGCAAAGTAGATGCCGGTGTGGAAGTTGAAGTGAGGGAGGTTGGAGATGATGGACTGGAGGTGGAAGTTGAGAGTGTGGTAGACAGCGTGGTCTCAGACCTGATGCGCTTGCGTGACTTAACCCGAAAGCAGTGTTTGCCAAGGCACTCGTCCAATGCTGGCGCTGGCGAATCCAGAAGTTCACGAGCAAGTTTGTGCACTGCGATGTTGTTCACGTGATGAATCACCGCGACCTGTCCTTGCTGACCAACTGACCAACCCACAGCAGCTCAACAGCGCCTTGAAGTGAAGCTAAGCCGCTGCCATCGTAGAACTTATTACCTTCGCCACTTGACGTGTTCGCAGCGGGGCGCATGTGTTTGCATTCTTGTCTATTTCTGGGGAGGGTATACCATGCCTACATCGAGGATGAGCTCATATGTAGAATTTTGGCATACAAGCAAATGTTTGAGTTGCACCCAGGCTGCTACGCAATTCGTACCATGAAGACACTCTGCTGCAATTAGCACATGTAAAGGATAGGATTAGCAAATCGCCATTTCGCTTGGCCCTCAGGGCTGGGAGGCGATCAAACCCCATTTTCGTCCAGGGACCTTCCCAAATCCTTTCGGGCGCCCAAACCCAACATGCCTGTCTTTCGGCTGGTTCCGGAGCCGGACACGTCACGTCACATTTGTTCCAGCCAATCTGATAAAAGCTCGCAATCCCTGCCATTTGCGGTCTGTCTGGTGGCTGGCTTACCCCGCTTCTTCGTTGGAGCACATGGTGAAAGGAAGTAAGGCGCATGGGAGGCGGTCGCACGAGGATTATTGCGCGCAAAAGCTGGCACGATGGGCAGGCTGCTTGTTTGGCATCAGAGATGTTTGTCGAACATTGCAGTGGAACCCGACGCGACATTGTCTATCTCACCAAGCTCGCAGGCGGCGGCAACTCAACAAATGCCCTTCGCCCTCGCGCTCCTCCTGCGTCGCCGCCAAACCCTACGTGAGGCACTGCAGCCCGGCACCATCTCATGTAGCGCATCCTACCACGTGTTCCGCGTCACGGCGCGCCGCGACCGCGCCCGCGTCTCCGCCCACGGCTGGATGTTCAGACTCCCGGTCGGAATGGGATGAATGGGCGACCTGAGGACAAGGCACTCGAGACGAGCCGTCGCGCCTCCTTCTGACGGCGCCCCATTGAAGCAAATGCCGGGCCGTGCGTCTGGTCACCGGACTTGCGGATTGCACATGAGACGCCAATGATCTCTCGCGTGCTTGAAAACATGGTGACTTTGCCCATCTCTCAAGGCTGGGACTGAGCCGGAGCTGACGCGCCTCAGTGATTGGCTTATGCGCAAATGTCAATGTTCAAGGCAAGTTTGGAAGGAACTTCCGTGGTGCTGGCACTCGTTGGACTGTGCTTTTTCTGGCCAGTATCACACCAGTCTATCTGCATGACAACATCGCAGCAAGGGGGGAAGACTGGAGTTGGAAATACGTGACCGCAAGCGAAATCGGCTCTCTGGCAGCTGCAGAAACCACCTCGATTGCAAAGCAGGCTTCGGACAATGTTCACAGCGAGTGCGGACGCTGGGCCCATTGGCACGCCAACCACATAATGACAAGCGAGCGAGCTAGCTCACTGGGCTAAGTGAGCCAACCACACAACTAGCAAACAAGCTACTAACTGAGCTAACTACCAAATCAGCTCACGAACTAATTGCAAATCAGCCAAAGACAGCCCACCACCAAGCTCGCTGTCGGGCTGACTGTTTGACTGCTGGCTCTCCTGATTGGCCAACATGCTAAGTAGCTTGCTCTTGAACCTGGCCTGACTAGCTCGCCAGCAAATTGAGTAGTTGGCTAATCATCCAAGCATGTGGGTAGCAAACTAGCTCGCCTAAAACTGGCTAGCTAATCTAACCAGCTAAATTGCAGCGGCCCCTCAAATCTAAACCTCAACAAATGATGACCAAGACCGCATAAAGCAAGGGGAAATGCGGAGTTGTCACCCTTATATTCAGTATTATTCATGGTCAACCCTTGAGCCATGGTTGAAAAGTGTTAAAGTGCTTTTGGATTCGAGATTTGTTGGCGTACCACCTGTAGACAAGGCTGTCGACCCACTGGAGACAAATGAGAGCTATTGGACAAGGTGAGCAGCGCTTTACGACGTGTTAGCATATTTGTCTGTCGCATCTTCGTATCACATGTAGACAAGGAAGTCGACCAACATGGAACTCCGGATGCAAGGATCGAGATAGAACAAAGAAAAGCGCGAGCACCGGCGGGGGGGGGGGGGAGGGGTGCCTTGACAATCTTTACTTCGGATCTGCGCCATGCTTCCAAATACTTCCAGGCTGCAGTTCTTGACGACTGCCTGGTTCGCGTGCCCAGCGCAGTAGCTCTTAGCTGCCTCCTTGTCCAGGGCCGCCATGTCCGCCAACACTTTGATCGCATTCAACTCACCTGCGCCCGCACATGAAACCGCGCGCAGGTCGCAAGTTGAGGCCTTGCAGCGACTCGCCACCCACCGGGTTCTGTTGCATCTCCCAGCAGCCTAGGGGAAGCTCCTGGCTCTGGCAATCGCTGCACCGAGCTGCAAGCACGCCCTGCTTCTTCAGTTTCCCGATTCCCCCCCCCCCCCGGCCCTTCGCCGCTTTGGCATCCTTTATTTGTCTTTTGCCCCACTCGTTCGTCTCAGCGCCTTGTTCCGAAACTTGGCTGGATGGCCACAGCCCGGATCACCGAGCGTCACGACCTTCTGCTTCGACTTCTTTGGCAGAACGTCCCAAGCCTCGAGAGCAAAGAGGAGATGAGAGCGGAGTGGTTGCAAAGGCCAGGACCAGCGCAGGATAGATGATGTCTTGCGAGCATGAGTTTGGCCATTCAGACTTCCCCTTCATGAACCTTAGCCAAATCTTGCATCGCTCACTCTCGCCACTCATGTGCCATATGTGCCATGGGCGCCCGGACAAAGGGCAGCCAACTGCGATGGCTTCCTCCTTTGTGCCATTGGCAGAAGCGATCACACCTGTGCAGATGGAGCTGCAACGCACAGCGGAAAGGTCGGAAACAGCCTGCCTAGGGAGTCCCAGAGCTGGCTCATTGCTGAGAGCAGCTTCTGGTTGAACACCTCGAATGCTTTCTTGGTTTCTTGGTTTCTTGTTGGCCTCTCCCCATATGGCCAGGCTGCAAAGGCGTTGCCCCACATCAGCATGATGGGGCTGTCAGCCTGAACATGTCGCTCGGAAATTGGAAAGAACCCCAATCTTCCATGAAATTGCCGAGTTGAAAGCAATTCCTGCGACTGTACGGTCCAACGGCCATGGCTTTTCAAGCTGCGACACGCCTTCTCTACGTGCTCTGCATACGCCGCAATGTTCACTTTGGCCCTCGCCTTGCCCAGAGTGCTCCAACGTCAAGGTCCAATGAGTGCAATGAGAGCGCGCTGAGACTTCCGCTGGGCTCAGAAAATGGTCCAGCTCTGCGTTGATGAACCAGTCGTACTTGTCGACTAAGCCAGATCCTTGGAGTCTTGGAGTTCGTTTTGTACCGGGTGCTGAGAAACTGCTACGTGCACCAAATACATCCAAGCTTCGAAGAAGGTGACTGAGAGCTGGCATGAGGCCCACCATATTTCTGCAGATTCAATTGCTTGAGCCGTTTGAGCCGTTTGAACCCTAGACCTTGCAGTGCTTTGCGCCCAGCCTGTGGTAGAGCCATCCGCCTTTGTCCCTGGACACCTGCTGGGCAGGAAGCTCTACCCGCACGAAGTCCGGCTCCTTTCACACACAGCAACCCCCAAACTCTCAGGTCTTGCCCTCTCCTCGCCGCCAGGGCTGCCGGTGTCTGTGTAGAAGATGTGCCCATCGCACTTGGCGAACCTCAGACTTTCTTGGGCAACTCAACGTGCTTCGTTCGCTCATTCTGCTTCAAACTGCTTCAAACTTCAAACTGCATTCTTCTCGCTCTGCATTCTTCTCGAATCTTTATGCCCGAGCCGCTGCAATCGGACTTCCAGCAGCAGCTGCTCGTCGTATTTCCGACGGGGTGTCCAGGCGAAGCAGAAGAGCGACAGCCCCTTCCGCAAAAAGAGCACGAGCTCAAAATGTCGGAGCACCCGGGGACCCGGCTGGCCGGGGTGGCCCTTGGGGCCCTTGGGGCCCTTGGGGCCTGACCTTGCAAGACTTGCCAAACATCACCGAGCAAGCCGGACTTGGCGTGCGGCTGTGGCTGTCGATGTACCAACGACATTGGCAGAGGTCGTGGAGGCGACCGTGACAGCCGGAGTCTCTGCAAGTCGCCCGAGCCCAGCTTCTTCGAATTGTGGTGGACTGACAGGGCCTCACATTGTCCCTTCACACCGGTCAATGGAGTGCAGGGCAGATCAACGGACACATGTGACGCGCATGTTTGAGCAACAAAAGACCATGACTTTCCGCAGACCCCCAACCGTTGCCAAGCATGATGTCCACAGACTCTTTTCTTTCTAAGAAAACACTGAGTGCAACACAGACTTGAGAAGTCCACCCTGCCTGTCTTGCCGTCCGGCTCGACCGGAGATAACACCACCTGGACTGTGCGAATTCTGCCAACGTTTGGCAACTCGAAACTTTGCCAACCCCTCGGCTGCCTGCGAGCTCAGGAAGCCCAGGCTGGGGCGGCGCAGGATCCATTCCGACTCCCAGCTCAGCCCAGCCTCAGGTAAGCCGCCAGGCGTGCATATTTATATACATATATGTATATATATATATATATATATGTATTATATGTATGTATATATCTTGTCATGCAGGCTGTCAAAGTTGTCCGGTATGTTGCAGCTTGGCACCAGCAGCAGCAAGGCGATGGCCAGCCAAAGCAGCGGGCCGCGGGCACAGGCTCTTCGCATGGCATGGGCATTTGCTACTCCCGATATCGCGATACGGGAAATACGAGTTGATGTCGACGTCTGCCATCCAGTCTCGACAGCTAGGGATCTCCCAGCCTTCATGTCCCGTGCAATCGCTTCTTTGAAAGAAAAAACAGAAACACGAGCTGGGCTCTATCTCGAAGCTGAGACGCGCGCATGGCATTGAGCATGACCGCAAACACTGGAGGCGTGTAATCTTTCCAAGCTGTTGCACGACTGCCCTTTTTCACATGCCAGCGCTCTGGGCCGGGCATTTGGCCAGAGACTCTCGGTCGACTTCCCCGTCTCTGGGGGGGGGGAAGTATCCATCCGATGCCAAGCCAACATACGCACAGCGCAAGACACCAGTACTGGGATAAATATCGAACGCATCGATTGGGGGGGTATTTGGCATCCACCTCAGCTTCAACCAGATTGAAGCCCGCCAGGGCACAGAGAATACAAAGAGCAAAGCCGGTGGTTCGGCCTGTTCACTGATACACCGTCGCATCTTCCGCAGGAGCAAGTTGCCCTGCGCAACGATGTCCACGGCTCAGCTTGCGAGCCATTGAGATGAGCGGAATCGCCGTGCCTCCACCAGGAAGCATGCCCCAGGGTTGCATAGCAGGCTGCATAGCAGGCTGCATGGAAGGCTGCATAGCAGGCTGCATGGAAGGCTGCATAGCAGGCTGCATGGAAGGCTGCATGGTAGGAACAAAGGCCTGGCTGTGACCAGTTCTAAGCTCTAAGTCTTTGCTCCGGCATGGCAGGCACCCCAATCCCGGCGCAAACAAGAGAGTGGAACAAACCACGTTTGGCAAACCCGCCTCCGCAGTGGCAGACATCTGAACGCCCTGTGAGGCTGCTTGACACGTGAGTGAAGGCAGTGAAGCCTACTGCAATCGCTCAAGCTCCCCCTTGCCTGCATCTGCATGTAACCATAGGGAACCTGTCCGGTGGCAACACAGAGACCAACCACTCAGGCAACGGAGAAGCGCGGGTGAGGCACCGCCGGCATCGGCGGAGCCCTAGCAAAGGTTTGCATGGGGAACCTGAGGACGAAGCCAATGAGTCAAGAGGTCATGGTCGCACTTGGGGTCTGGAGCTGTCTGAAGCTTCCACTGAGCTCTGCACGCACTGGCTGGCAGCGGATGCGGCTCGGCTTGCGCTTCTTGTCGCTGCGCAGAGGGCGCAGAGGCGCCCGCTCCTACGCTGCAAGCCATTGGCTCTGTCTCGAGTCTCGAGTCGAGTCCTGAAAGAAGCTCGGAGGGCTTGGCTCTCATCAGGCAGCCCAGTGGCTGGCCAGGGAGAAGACCTGCATCACTTGCCGCTCGCCGAGCTTTTGGCCGGAGCCGCCCGCGGCTCAGTGAGCACGTGCCTCCCTTTTCTGAGAGGGCCCGTCGGCTATGGATTTCCCACCTAGATTGGGCAGAGTGGGCAATAGAGGCTGGTGCAGCTGAACAGCAACCTATGAGCAAAGACCCATCCTGGTCAATCAGTATTCCACTTGATTTGCTTGGCACTGGCACGTGTCTAGCCACTGCGACAATCAGCTCTTACAGCCAAATCCTGGGGGATACAAACGATCAGATCGGTGCAAACCCAGAGTCTCAGAGCAGCCTTGACAAGACTATCAGCGCATCAAACTTTGTGCCGGGAAGAACAAGTCCCTGCGCAAACGCGCAACCGGTTCGCCTTGGAGCGACCCTCGAGAGCTCCGGGCGCTCTCAGGCGCGAACATTGGGGCGTGACCACCTAATTTCCTCAGAAAAGCGCATCTCTGCGTTTCGTCGCCTCCAAGTTTATCCAAGTGTGCTTCTGTGCGCTCGCCCTTCTCTTCCTTTGCTTTGAGGGCCCGGCGCAAAGAGGCAGAACTCCAGGTCTGCGGAAGGTGCCGCCCAGCTTGGTCTCCAGGCACTCCTCTCCGAGCCACGAGTCGCGAGAGATTCTGAGTTCTGAAAGGTCCTCAGAGCTTCATTGGCCACCCTCTCTGTGACCTGCACCGCAAATTCAAAGCAAAAGTCTCGTGCACCGAACCCCGCCACTCCGCCTCAGGAGCTGCTGCCTCGAAGAACTCTTCCGCCATGATCTCAGGCATCATGGTGGAGCAGGCAGTAGGAAGGCACCTGCCGGTGCAACGGTGCAAGGCACGGCACGACGGCACGGTCCGTGGCTTGCGCCTACAAGCCCAAAGGGGATACACCACTCTGCGCAGCTCGCCGCCCTGCACGAACTTTGGCAAGGTCGAGCTCAGAAGGCGATCCCCGCTCCAGAAGACGACCTCAAATGCGAGGTGCGGGCGACGCTTCAAGCTTTCAGCTCGAGGATCCCGCCCTAGAATCATGTCGCCTGTCCGAGTGGAAAGCACTTGCCCGTCGGCACACTCCCGCACTCCCGCACTCCCACCTGCCCGAAGAGCAAACCACGCCATGCTGCTCGGTACATTCCCACCTCACGAACCAGGCCAGTCGCTGGCAGTCGCCAGTGATTGCTCAAATGCCCTGACAGTGATTGGCCAAGTCGCTGCACTAGCACGTGATCCCCGGCAAGCAGCTGCTGTTCGGCGTCATAGACTCGCTCCTATCGAGTGCTGCGATGCGGTAAGTGTCGTGTTGCGTTCCGGGCACGTCCACGCCAAAGCCATTCATGTTGCCACTCTGCAAATTTACTTGCTTCCACAGCAAGATAGAATTGAAACTTGAAGAGGTGTTTCACTGAGTCCGCTGTCGTGCAACTCTCCAAACCAGGCAGCCCTTCAACGAAGAAAAGCGCTGTGGCCCTTGTGGCTCTTGTGCCCTTTACAGCCATGAACATCCTCGTCCCGAGCCTGCCATCCTTGAGGGCGAGTCTTGAGGGGTGTCAGTGCGGAGGTCTTCACATGCATTCATATTCTAAGACTGTGGACCCTGCACATCCTCCGTGTCATGCTGCAAATTTATCGTTTTGGCGCCGGCTCTATTAGCCTTCGCTTCGTCCAATCATATTCCAGTCAAGGTCCAACACTGCTCCCACCTAAGGTGAATCTCACCCCCTTTCCCTCCTCAGGAGCATGGCGCCGCAGCAACCGGGAGGAGAAGCGGAACTGCGACGCCAAGGGCCGTTGAGGGGCCTCGTGCACCCATGTCCCTCAAGGTTCTTCAAGGTCCGTGGCCTCTTATACCTACCAAAGATCACCCCTCTATTCAGACATCGTCCCGCCACACAAACTTATTACATAAATGTTCACAGATATTTTTCAAAATATAAAATTTTATGATAAAGTTATATCATAAAATTCTACCAGCATCCTTACAAATCGCGGTTTAAATTATCAAGATGTTTTTTGCATTTCAATTGTCTAGACCAGTTAGGGTTTTTAACTTTACAACCGCAAACCTCACAATCTTTTTCAATTTGGTTATATGCCTTTTTTTCTTCGCGGTGCTCAGCGTCATATTTCTTGCTTACCTCCTTAATTATTTCTGGATTGTTTGCCCTATACCTCTTCCAACTTTCTGCACAAACTATGCACCAAGTTTTCCCAGCAACTAATTGACTAGGAAGTTTTTTACATCTACATGAAGTGCATTTTGTTTTTTCAGGTTCATCCATCCTTACTATAGTTACATAGTTTCCCTTTAGGTCAAAACCATCTTACACAAATCCCAAATTCCCAAAATATATTTTTCCAAAATCCCAAATTCCCAAAATATATTTTCCAAAATCCCAAAATATAAAATCCCCATAATTTCAAAACATAAATCTTACAATGTTTTTTAATTGTAAGGTTTATGGGAAATCGGATGGGTCAATGCGACCCATTTGCGGGGTCAATGCGACCCATTTGCGGGGTCAATGCGACCCATTTGCGGGGTCAATGCGACCCATTTGCGGGGTCAATGCGACCCATTTGCGGGGTCAACGCAGTTCAATTGGAGCACCTAATCCGTCAAACTCGTCAAAATCTCACAAATCAATTCAGCAGGTATGTTGTATAAATCTTCCTGCTTATGTATTACATAATTATCCCCCCATTCTGCTTTAGTTTTTGATGGCAGTCGTTGCGCAGTTTCAATATGTTTATTATTCCTTATTCTTCCACAATCTCTATTACATAAATCTCTAGGTGTCCACTTCGTAATGTTATTCCAAAGTCTAGCGCGTTTTCTGTAATTAAATCCATATTTGCAATACTCAACATCTTCAAAATCAAACTCATTCATAAACTCCTGATTTTTTAATAATCCAGTTTGAGGATTTTCGATTACAAAATATTTAGGATTAAAATATTTGATAATCTCAATAGTTTTTCCCCACATCTTTGTGTGGGGTTCTTACTTTTGCCGCTCCGCGCCCGCCGTCCGCCGTCCGGTCCCGCCGTCCGCCGCCCGCCCCGCCGCCCCCGCCGCCCACTCAGTCACACTCACTGTCTCACACTCACTCACACACGCTCACACACACACTCACTCACACACACTCACTCTCACACACACACACACTCACTCACTCACTCACTCACTCACCCACTCACTCACTCACTCACTCACTCACTCACACACACTCACTCACACACACTCACTCACTCACACTCACTCACCCACTCATTCACTCACTTACTTACTCACTCACTCCCTCTTGCAGGGGCAACATATGGCAGCTGTCTAGAGGGACTGGATGTTGTCGAGCGCGCGGCTCGGGGGCTCAATCAGCGTGACAGGCGCAGCACTTTGGAGATGGCGCACAGATTTCGTGGCAGGCGCAGTATTTTCTGCATCTGGGTGTGTGTTTGCGTGGCAGGGGCAGCATTTGGTAGCTGTCTAAAGGGACTGGATGTTGTCGAGCGCGCGGCTCGGGGGCTCAATCTGCGTGACAGGCGCAGCACGTTGGAGATGGCTTGCAAATTTCGTGGCAGGCGCGATATTTTCTGCATCTGGGTGTGTGTTTGCGTGGCAGGGGCAGCATTTGGTAGCTGCCTAAAGGGACTGGATGTCTTCGAGCCCGCGGCTCGGGGGCTCAATCTGCGTGACAGGCGCAGCACTTTGGAGATGGCG